AGGCGTGGGCGGACGAGCCGGAAGGGGTAGAGCGGATATGCTCGAGGACGTAGGAGAGCTGAGTCTCGATGACATCCAGGGCGGCTTGGACGGAGGAGTCGTTTTGAATGTCGTCGAGGCGAGATCGGATGAAACCCCGGAAGCCTTCCAGAGCGCGGATCTTCTCGGTGAGGGTGTCCAGTCTACGATCAACGGTGCCGCGGTCGAAGCCAGCCCGGATCTCGAGGCGTCGCTGGGTGTTAAGGAAGGACTCGTAATTCCGGCGATGCTCGAGGAAGAGGTCGAGGAGTCCGTTGACTTGGATGGCGATGCGAGTGTCTCCCCGGTCTATGTCACGGGCGTGACTCTCAAGCATCGCGTTTACGGTGCGGCGGAATTCGATGAACTCGCCCCAAATTCGCTCCTGTTGGCGGATCTGGTGGGCGGAGGAAGCTTCAAGGCGGGCGAGGCGCTCCTCGACAGAGATGCCGGAGAGGGCGTCGGGGCCGGAAACCTCGGCCGGGGCGGGCGACGGAGGAAAAGGGAGGGGAATCTCGTCGGGATCGAAGAACGGGCGACGCTCGGCCACGGAAGGGCGGCGAGCGGCGGAAGGAGCAGGGATCGGAGGCCACTCATGGAAGGGATCGAGGAGGGACGACAGGGAGATGCGGAGTTGGGGGAAAAGGAGGGATTTATGGAGCAGGGTCGGGAATGGGCGATCGGATGGAGGAGGGTGGCAATGAGGAGAGGCGGATTGATGTCGATAAGGGAGCGAGGCGGGAAACGTGGAGGGGTGAAGGCACTGCAACACCAGCCTCGAGGCTAGGCGGAAGTTAAGATCAGTAGCCACGAGGCGAAGGACGCACGAGTGCGGCCTCGAGTTGATCATCGGACAGTGGGGAGAGGACAGCGGTAGGCTGGCCCGGCGAGAAGACGGGGGCAGAGAGGCACGATGAATTAAAACAAGAAACAGGCGATACATTGTACAAAGCTAGCGAAGGCGGGGTTTTACACGAACACGAGGAAACTATCTACTGGCCCTCCTCGGACTCGAACTCTCGCTCTGGCTGCCCGGGGGGAGCCATCTCTACGTCGTCCTGGAGTTCGTCGCGCTCGCTATCGGGATCGGGATCGATACCGGCATCCAGCATGCCAGGGCGCCGGAAGAAGCGGTGGACTTCGCCGGACGATTCAGCCATCCGATTGAGGCGGTCGCGGACGGTGCGCTGAGGAGCGGGGAGGCGCGAGGGACCGGCCTCCGGGGATGGGGCGGGCAAGGCGGACGCGGAAGAGGGGCTAATGCGGGGACCGCGGAACGGGAAGTCGTCCCGGATGCTCGCCGGACAATCGCCAAGGACCGTACCCTTGGGCTCGGTGACCCAGTCATATCGGTCAAGGGCTGAGCGCGGAAGGTCGGGGTGATGCCCGATGTACAGGAACTCGGGGGCACCGTCCTCTGAGAATCGGAGGGTGTTAGTGGAACGCGGGACGAGGAAAAGACGGTGGAGCGACGTACTGTAGCTGCTGACGTGGCACTTCTTCTTCTTCGCGATACAGGCGGCGCAAGCGTGCCCAGGGAGGGCGTCGATTCGGCAGCGGACTCGGCGACGGCGACACTCGGGGCATGGGGTGACAGGCGAGTAGACGTAGGGACCGTACCGAGGGCGCTCGGCGTTGGAGGTCCTCCCGGGAACTGGCGGTTGTGGGTCCGGGAGAGCGGGGGACGGGAGCGGAACGGACGGAGGAGGGGCGGGGACCGCGGGCATCTTCAGGCGGACACGACGCGGGATGGGACGGACAGGGCGAGAAGGAGCGGGCGAGGACGGCGGATTGACGGGGGAGTGGATGAACCGAGTACCGATGCTACTGGAGAGCGCAGCGATCTCCAGGGCGCGAGGGGACATGGGCTGGTACTCGTCCAAGTCCTCGATGGTGTCGATCGGGGGCGGAGTCGGAGGTGCGTAGGATACCGCGGTGCCACGAGGAGGACCGGGAGGGGGAGACGGAATGGAGGGCGCTATGGGGGGAGATGGGGACGGGGCGAAGAGGAGGGGCGCCGACGGTGGTACCGGGATAGGCGCGGGCGAGGCAAGAAGGGGGACGGAGAGCCCACGTTCGCTGAACAGCGGCGAGGAGGCAGGCGGAGGAGCGGGCGCGGACGAAACGGGAGGAGCGACGGACGCGTCTCGCTCGGTGAACGAGAGCGACGACGCGCGGGCGTAGCGGGCGGCGGCCGACGAGGAGGGGCCCGGGAAGGAAAAGCCGAACGGACCGGCCACGGAGACGGGTGGCTGGGCATTGGAGCGCCCCCGGGAACAGCCTGCGGCGAGGGGATGGATGGTACACCGAACGGAGGGGCCGGAGGGTCGTTGGCGCCAGGTCCGCCCGTCGGGTCGGCGTACTCCAACGGAGACGGTGATCGAGGAGCGTCGAGGGAGGGCACGTCGGGTTCCGGGACAGGGGACAGATGAGCAGCGGCGTGAGCGACCGGGGACGGACGAGGTGCCGGGGATGCGGACCGGGCGGGCAAGGGAGGAACGCGGGAGGCCGCGACGACTGCGGGCGACAGCTCGAAAGTCGTCCCAGCCCAGTACCCCGTTGTACCGTACCGGCGCCCGCGTTCCCTGGCGTCCTGCTGGAGAGTCCGGAGGGAGGTCTGGTACCGGGAGGGCTGATTGGCGAACGCCTCCAACTCCTCCCAGAAAGCGTCCAGGGCCGCTTCCGTCTCGGGGCGCATCCGCGTCTCGAACTGCCCCATGACCAAGGCGTAGTCGAGGTGAACGTCGTAGACGGCCTGCGATAGCGCTAAGCCCCGGGGACACATCGAATACGAAGCCGGAAGCACTCACCCAGGCGTAGCACAATTGGCGGGCCCACATCAGCCAGGCTCCGGCTTGGGCATGGGAAGGGTGGCGCCCCATGGTTGGACGCCGGGCAGCGGCGAGGCTGATTCGGGCCTCGAGGGAGACCAGTTCGGAGGAAGCGGCGAGGCGAGTCGGATAGTCCTCGTCGGGGAGCCCAGCGGTGAAGTCCAGGACGGAGGGAGACGGGGAGGGACGAGACATGGTTGACGTGAAGCGAGATGGGGTGAGGAATGGGATGGGAAGAGGAGGAGGCGCCGAGCAGGACTTATACGCGGGGACGGGAACCTCAGCCACAGTGATCGGAGGAAGATTACCGGATTAAGACGGGATCCCAGCCAATCAACGCGCGGACGGGAGCGCGCAAGAAGCCGGGCGATCGGAGGGAGACCTCGATCGTTGATCGCTTATGACATGGGGATAATCCCGCGGCGGTACAGAGGCGCCGAACCGAGGGAAGAGGGGAATCTGACCGGGGACGGTCAGAAATTTAAAGGTGGGGGTAGATGTGGGGTGGGCCCACATGGGAGCAGCGGCACGACCTCAATACACCGCACGTACAAGTCAAGACGGGAAGGGGCAGCAACCGGCATAGGGCAACATTGATTGTCGAACAAGCGAACGCAACATCGATTGTCGCACAAGCGAACGCACACGGCGGAAGAGCTAATCGAGCACCCAACCAAATACATGCGGAAGGAGGAAGGCTACTGTACATGAACGGCAGGTCCCTCCGCCACCTCATCCTCGACCTCTCCCTCCTCCATGGCCTCGACGTCGGAGGGCGTGCAAACTGCAGGCGACGCGGTATTCCGGAGTAGCCGTCAGGCACGTACACTCCCTCCGACAAGCGAGCGTGCAAGTCCCGGACGCCGGCCTCAACGGAACCCAGGCCTCGGGCGAAACGGACGGCTTCAGAACGAGCGTCGCGGTTGGCGGTCCGGCACTCGTCGAGGAGGCCTTGGAAGCGGGTGAGCAGACCATCGAGGCTGTCGGAGGAGGCGCGGAAGGAAGATAATTGCATGGGCCGTTCCATGTACCGAATCGGAAGAAGCGGGCGACCAACCTCGGCATCGGATTGCTCAGCGGCGACGCGGTTTGGAGCCCAGGCGATCAACGGGTAGGGCTCGCCGACGTAGCTATGCTGGGACGGGAGAGTCAGGAAGACCTGGTCGAGGTACTCGATAAGATCCTGGACGTCCGAGTACCGGCGGACGAGCGGAAGGGATGCGTCGCCGTGGGCAACCGCGCGAGACCGAGAATCGAAGAGCATCCGCTGTGCGGAACGAAGGCAGGTTGGCGAGACGAGGAGGACGAGGCGGAAGAAGGCACGTACGATTAGCCATCGGGCGCCATGGGCCCAAGCGAGCCACTCAAGGTCGCTATCGGGGTTCAGACGGGGCTCTACCACACGCTCGTCACGAATGAGGTCGACGAGGCGGTAGAAACGGGTGGTGTAGACGATGGTCGAGGGGTTCGGTGGGATGTCGGCGGGCATTGAGGACTCACACGATGGTGGACTGGGGACGGATGAGGATGGCAGGGACGGCGGAGGGAGACCCACGGGGGCGGAAGGAGTAGGAACGGAGGGGAACGGGTGCCAGCGAGGCAGGGACGTGGGAAAGGCGGCGGAAGGGGGCTAGGAGGACGGGGCGGAGGGAAGGAGAGTTAGTTACCTACCACTACCTCTCAGGACTCAGTATCTAGGTTGCACCGGGCAATCTCAGGCTTCAGGTCCCGTCTCAGGCTCGCGTTTAGGCTAAGGAAGGTCGCAGAAGTTAGGCTCAGGCTCAGGATCCAGGAGAGCTCAGGTTAGGATCGTCGGAGGGAAGGCTATCGAGTATACCAGGCTCAGGAAAGGCGGTCTTCACTAAAGGACATCGCGGACGAAGCGTGCGGCGCACCACCCCATCTCCCCTTTTCCCTCCGCGAGGCACCACGAACCTCGCTCGCTTCCTCCGCGAACCGTCAACTTGCACCAACGACCCCCGCCCATCGTTTTCACCGATACCAAGAATTCCCTTCCGCGTCGTCCACGCACCGGGGACTCGCAATCACCACAGTGTCGTGGTACGACGACGCAGTGAGGGTCATACGTCGGACGGTTTGTTAGCACCGACTAGGTTATCAACGCGTCACTGATGTTCATATATATTACAGATGTCCATATACCACGAATACACTAAATCGCCCACGTCGTCCGGCGAGTCAACCACTCAGCGCTCTGGCGCGTCGACGTCGCGAGCCTCTGCATCAGGGGCACCCTCTTACTACACCGTTGCGGATGCACTCGGCAACGAGGTCGGCGAAATGGAGGCCGATTTCCGTGAAAGAGTCGCACAAACACGCGAGGAGTCTGTAGACGTAATCGTCGAGCGCGAGCTTCAAACTTATCTTCACGCCGGATCAGAGCGAGAAGATGTTGATCTTCTCGAATTTTGGCAGGTGAGTGCCTTTCGGAGTGAATTCTGCAGCATAATTGTGATTTTTTCGTCAGAGAAACCGAACCAAGTACCCGATCCTGTATCGTATGGCCCTCGACTACCTGTCCGCGCAGTCGTCTTCTGTACCGGCGGAACGCGCTTTCTCGTCTGGTGCGGAGACCGACACGAAGCGTCGCAACCGCACCTCGCCTATCTTGATGGAGGCGCTCCAAATGTCGAAATTCGAGATCAAGCGCAGGGTGGGTAACGGCGAGGAAGACCCGATCGACTTCACTACTGGTTGGCAGTCAGTGGGGAGCGATTTCCAGGTACTCCCTCGGTTGCAAGACATGCCGAAGCTAGGTGATCTTCTGCTCGGCGACTCCGAGCACACTATGGACGCCTTGCTTCGTGGTCTCAACACGCTGGACCCTGCACCTACAAACGAGCCGTCGGGTTGACCTGCCGTGCAAGAGCCTGGTGAACCTCACGATCAGTAAGTCCGTGAATGCGGCTTCAAGTTCGGAAACTGACGATGACCGACTTTCTTGCCCAAATGCGTAGCCGTGTACGATACTCAGGCCTCAGGTGGTGATCTTGGATATGTTGAATGTACATTGTCTCTGGGTGTGCGACCCAGGCTGTTTTGTTACTTCCGTGTTGCGTCACGGTGTACGATAGTGTAGGATGTCTCAAGAGTTTCTCGATACGCGGTTCTTGTACTGAATACGTCTATGCAATTCACGTCGATTCTGCAAAGTTGCTGTATATAAGGTCGCCTGAAGTCCTTTCGCAAGCGCCCGACGTTGACGGTGGTGCAGTGTGTCTCATCTCTCGCAAGTAGTATCGCTTGCCGACACCTGATCTTCATTGGAATCATTACTCCTGTATATCATTAGTACGTCTGTAAGATTCCGTCTCTTATTCTTCGACGCTGATTACAGGAGCGACTTTAATTGACCCGTCGGCAGCGTCAAACGCGCGACGCGGTCCCTCGGCGCTAAAGTACTGGTAGCGGCTCTTACATCGCACAACCGCCTCCGAGGTTGGTGAGGCCTTCGGGACCACAATCTCTATCTGAACAGCGAGGACTAACTGCTTCTATTAGGGTGGAACATTGATTGGAACTCCCCGCTTCACCCTCCGCACACAAGAAGGCCGGTGAACGGTAGCGCATAACGTGGTCAAGAAGGGCATTGACGACCAGGTCGTCTGCGGAGGGGACGGCGAGTCTCGCCCATTCCCTTCCGGCCGCTTAACTACAAGCACAATACCCTCGCGCTCGAGATATTCAAGGAGACGTATTCGGTCAAGGGCCGCTTGAACCAGTCGCAACGCAAGGAGCTGGCGCTCATTGAGCAGGCGTACGACAACCCGCATGAATGCTTGTCGCGTATCAAGCGTCTGCTGCCCACCCAGTGTGCGTTCAAGGAATCTGGCATCGAGTTCTTCGATACCTACGACAAACTCATTCCTTGCTACGACATCGAGCCCGTAGAGAAGATCACGGACGCCTACCTCGACCAGTTCCAGTTCTTCGAGGCCGACAAGCGTGGTCTGTTCCCCTCCTGGATCAAACCCGCCGACACTGAGCTGCCGCCGCTTCTCGTCTACAAGTGGCGCCAAGGTATCAACAACTTGACCGACATCTGGGAGACGAGCGAAGGCGAGTGCGACGTGCTCATGGAGACGGTGCTGTCCAAGGTCTACGAGAAGATCGATGTGACGTTGCTCAATGGCTTGTTGTGTCTCATCCTGGACCACGACTTGGCGGACTACATTACAGCGAAGAACAACACCGGCTTGACGTACAAGGGTGAGTGTTCCCAGCATATGCGTCATCGAACTGGTAGTGACTTGCACGATAGATATGGCGCACACAAACGCCTACGGTCTGATCCGTGGTCTCCAATTCTCAGCCTTCGTCTTCCAGTACTACGGTCGGGTCCTTGATCTGCTCATTCTGAGTCTTCAACGCGCCAGCGCGATGGCGGGACCACCGCAGATGCCGAACAACTTCCTGCAATACCGCGACTCCGCCACCGAGATGTGTCATCCCATCCGTCTCTCTCTATTTACGTTACGTCGACTGCATACACATCTTGTTCCACTTCACGGCCGAAGAGTTGCGAGACCTCATCCAACGATATGTCAGTGCATACCCTGACCCGACGAACAACAACGTCATCGGGTACAACAACAAGAGGTGTTGGCCTCGAGACTGTCGTATGCGCCTGATCAAGCACGACGTCAACCTCGGCAGAGCGGTCTTCTGGAATGTCAAGCAGAGTCTGCCCCAATCGCTCACCACAATCGAGTGGGAAGACACTTTCGTCAGCGTGTTCTCTAAGGACAACCCGCAACTCTTATTCTCGATGTGTGGGTTTGAAGTTCGCATCCTGCCCAAGATCAGGACTATGGATGGCGAACAGTTCTCGCTGAAGGATGCCGTATGGAACCTTACCAATGAGCAGACGAAGGAGCGTACTGCCCAGGCGTTCCTGCGCGTATCAGATGAAGGTTTGTCAATCGCTACTTCCCTCAAATTCCTTACTGATGTTGGTTCACGACAGGCGTCCAGCAGTTCAACAACCGAATTCGTCAGGTCTTGATGAGCTCGGACTCGACGACGTTCTCCAAGATCGTCAACAAGTGGAACACCGCCCTCATTGGTCTGATGACGTACTACCGTGAGGCCGTCATCCACACGAACGAGCTGTTGGATTCCCTCGTCAAGGCCGAGAACAAGATCCAGATGCGTGTCAAGATCGGCTTGAACTCCAAGATGCCATCGCGTTTCCCTCCGGTCATCTTCTATACACCGAAAGAATTGGGTGGTCTCGGCATGTTGTCGATGGGTCACGTTCTCACCCCACAGAGCGATCTTCGGTGGTCGAAGCAGACAGACGTCGGGGTCACTCACTTCCGTGCCGGTATGTCACACGAGGAGGACCAGCTGATTCCCAACCTCTACCGCTATCTCCAGCCTTGGGAAGCAGAGTTCTTGGACTCAGCTCGCGTCTGGTCGGAATACTCCATGAAACGGAAGGAGGCAAACGCCCAGAATCGCCGTCTGACGCTCGAGGATCTTGAGGACAGCTGGGATCGCGGTATCCCGCGTATCAACACGCTCTTCCAGAAGGATCGGCATACGCTTGCGTACGATCGAGGTTGGCGTGTGCGTACCGACTGGAAACAATACCAGCTGCTCAAGCACAACCCTTTCTGGTGGACGTCTCAGCGCCACGACGGCAAGCTATGGCAGCTCAACAACTACCGAGTCGATGTCATTGCTGCTCTGGGAGGTGCCGAAGGCATCCTTGAGCATACTCTTTTCAAGGGCACGTACTTTCCGACGTGGGAGGGATTGTTCTGGGAGAAGGCGTCTGGGTTCGAGGAGTCAATGCGGTACAAGAAGCTCACGAACGCGCAGAGGTCAGGTCTGAATCAAATCCCGAACCGTCAATTCACGCTGTGGTGGAGCCCTACGATCTACCGCGCCAACGTCTACGTCGGTTTCCAGGTCCAACTCGACTTGACGGGCATCTTCATGCATGGTAAGATTCCGACCCTGAAGATCAGCTTGATCCAGATCTTCCGTGCCCATCTTTGGCAGAAGATTCACGAGAGTGTCGTCATGGACTTGTGCCAAGTGTTCGACCAGGAGCTCGAGCCGTTGCAGATCGAAACCGTTCAGAAGGAGACTATCCACCCGCGTAAGAGTTACAAGATGAACTCGTCTTGCGCAGACATCCTCCTCTTCTCCGCCTACTCCCGGCCTTCGCTCGTTACTGATAGCAAGGATGTTCTCGACGGCACGACCAGCAACAAGTACTGGATTGACGTTCAACTTCGTTGGGGAGACTTCGACACGCACGACATCGAGCGATACACCCGCGCGAAGTTCCTGGATTACATCTCCGACTCTATGAGCATCTATCCCTCGCCAACAGGTGTCATGATCGGCATGGACCTGGCTTACAACCTTTGGTCGGCGTACGGCAATTGGTTCCTGGGCATGAAGCCGCTCATCCAGCAGGCAATGGCCAAGATCATGAAGGCCAACCCGGCGTGCCACGTCTTGCGCGAGCGTATCCGCAAGGGTCTCCAGCTCTACTCGTCCGAGCCGACGGAACCGTATCTCAACAGCCAGAACTACTCAGAGTTGTTTTCGAACCAGATCATCTGTAAGTGTGATTTCACATGGATGATTTACAACAGCAGTGTCTCACATTCGCCTTAGGGTTCGTTGACGACACGAACGTATACCGTGTGACGATCCACAAGATGTTCGAGGGTAATTTGACGACTAAGCCTATCAGTAAGTCTCACGTTACGTTGGACGAGATTCTTAACTTATTCCTGTCGTAGACGGCGCAATCTTCATCTTTAACCCTCGCTCTGGTCAGTGTACGTGCAATTTCTGCTACCCATCTACCGCTTCGTCTCCAGCACATCTACATCTCCAACGACGATGTCCGAGACGATGCTGGGTCGTTCACCTACGTCTTGCCGAAGAACATCCTCCGTGCCTTTGTCACTGCTGCCGACCTGCGCACTCAGGTCGCTGCGTTCCTGTACGGCGTCTCTCCGCCAGACAACAAGCAGGTCAAGGAGATCAAAGCCGTGGCATGGGTCCCGCAGCGAGGCAATAACAACAGTGTCGAGTTGCCATCGCAGTTGCCGAAGGACGACTTCTTGCTCAAGGACCTCGAACCGCTCGGATGGATCAAGACTCAGGCTCTCGAGCTGCCGCACTTGTCGCCAACGGATGTCACCACGCAGGCGAAGTTGATGGCCGAGCATCCTGAATGGGGCTCGTCGTCAATATGCTTGACCAGCGCGTTCACGCCGGGTTCCGTATTGTTGTCTGCGCATTCGCTCTCAGTCGCAGAGTTTGAGTGGGGCCGGAAGAACGCCAACACGTCGCCCAACCCACAGGTTAGTCGTCATATAATTCATTAGCCGCAATCCATACTGACTGTACTGCAATACGCAGGGCTTCAACCCGAACATGTCTGAGCGAGTGCAGCTTCTGCTCTCAGACCGTGTATCAGGCATGACGCTCGTGCCGCCGCTCGACCGGACTCATGCAGTGCGCCTCGCGTCGAGGTGCATGCCCTCCGTGCAGGGGCACCACCAAGCGCAGCCCTGGCAGCAAGGGTGGAAACTGGCGCCGCCCGAGTCCGCTTTGATGGACTGCCTGTTGGAACTGAAGACGATTGCGTCACACGCGCAACACTGGGCGTAACCCCAAGGTTCGTAGTGCACTTCTCTAGTCCAGTGCGACTGTTAGACTTATCTGCGCATTTCACCTTGTAGCGTTTTGCTGCGGTTATCGTGCAAACTCGCGACCCGAAGACGACCGCGCTCATCTTCGTGTCCAGCAAGATGGTGGTCACTGGTACGAAGAGCAAGGATGGCTCATGGCTCGCGGCTCGCGTCACATACGCTAGCAGAGAACCGGCCACGGCGCGTGCAGTCGGTCAAGAAGGCGCTGAGCACGAACCTCGCGTCGATGTCAATGCCGCCTGGGATCCTCTTTGTATAGCCCTCAATTACCGTACGAATTCTCGTATTGTAAACCATTGGGCTATCAATATAGATGTTAGCTGTTTTTTTTTCACTGCCACGACGTAGCTACGCGATCCTGGAATGATCAGTTCTGAGTACATGGCAGGCAAGACTGAGAATGAGCTTTCTTAGACGGCCTAGTGGCTGGCTTCGATTAGGCGGCTTCAGTTAGCGCCCGACGCGCGTTGATCTTGACTGCCAACACCGCTGTGATCCTCCTCCTTCATTGTAACTCTGCTCTCTCAGCACGCTTGGGACTCAGTGGCAGGTGCATGGACTTGTGGTCATGAAAACTGTTCGAGAGTGCTTCGGCAGGTATCTGGCTGACTACTGGCTCAAGCCCTTGGGTCGCCCGTCTGTATCCCCACTGTCTACGGTCATCACAACTTGATCTCGCTGACTACCTCAAGAGTTTCTTCTACATATACCTCAACATTGTCGTGAGTGACCGGACTGCGCAGTCTCGAGGAAGGGAGGAGGAGGCAATGGTACAAATGGTGAGTATCATCTGCGTATTCTGCCATGAGAGGTCTCCACACGAGTCGCACGTTGTGAGGTCTTCGACAAGCTCAAGGTAGTTTTCATTTCTCTTGCACTATGCTCTCGGACACTTCTCCCGTACGTGTTCCTTGTGTGCGACATCATAACGAACCTGCTCCCAACAGAAGAGATGGAGTATGATAGGTAGGCTCTTGCTATGTATCGCCTCCTTGGGTATAACAAGTGTTCTTGTACGCACTGATACATCGCGCGCTGATCACAGCGTAGGCCACTATCGACACGCCTCACGGCGAGAATCTCTTGGAGTGTTCTGGCAGCTAGAGTACATCTTCCCAGTGTGTTCCTTGAAACACTTCCGGCGCGCGAGCACTGCCGTCTGGAACGAAAGTGAGTTCTCCGCGCTCGAGTCCCCCTCTACCGAGATCTTCGCGGCTATCCAGACGCCCTCATCGCAGCGACGTGTTTCGTCACCCAGCAATTGCTCCTTTCGGTCGTCACCGGTTCCATCACCGTCAAGGCGAACATCATCACCATCGACGAGTGCGAGCCTGCGCAACCCCGTCGATTCAAGGCACACTATTGGGTACGCTATCGCGGCTGTGCTTACGCCTACGACCCTCCATGGTGAGTGTGTCAGCGTTGGCATGATCCTGGGGGCAGAGGTCGCGAGGCAGCTTGGTGTTCTCAGTCAAGTCGCAGTCGGCGGTTGACGCGCTGCCTCAGGGCGTACAACCTCCCCGTGTCCCTCTCGGACCCGCGTATCGCTAGCTTACCTGCTGCCAAGGGCTTCGGTGTGGAGCGCTTACTGGACATCATGAAGATCGACAAGAAGAACAGCAGTCCACAGAAGAAAATCGTGAGTGAGACCCTGGTCGTACAAGGCGGACAAGGTTCTCTGTCCGTACCCCGAACGGCAAGGAAATCTACATCGGTAACGCTGGAACTGCCGCGCGTTTCCTCGCTACGATCTGCACACTCGTGCAGAGCTCCGTGCCAGGCGAGCGCACAGTTATCACCGGGAACGCGCGCATGAAGCAGCACCCGATCGGGCCTCTCGTGGGAGCTCTGCGCGCCAACGGCAGCGACATCCAGTATCTTGAGTCCCAGGGATGTCTCCCGCTCTCCACCGCCCCCGCAGGACTGAAGGGCGCACGGATCTAGCTCTCTGCGAGCGTCTCCAGCCAATACGTCTCGTCCATCTTGCTGTGCGCACCGTATGCGCAGGAAGCGATCACCCTCGAGTTGACGGGCGGCCAAGTCATCTCGCAGCCCTACATCGTCATGACCATCGCGATGATGCGCACCTTCGGCGTGGATGTCATCCGCGAGAAGGATGCAGCGACGGGCCGGCTGTTCGACGTCTACCATATCCCGAGGCAGATGTACAAGAACCTGCTGAATTACAGCATCGAGTCGGACGCGAGTAGCGCGACTTACCTGCTCGCGGTCGCTGCCATCACCGGCACTACGTGCATGATCAGTAACATCGACTCGCCATCCCTGCAGGGCGATGCGCGTAACGCGGCGCGTTTCGCCAAGGATGTTTTGGAGTCAATGGGCTGCAAGGATGTGTAGACTGAGACTGAGACCACCGTGACTGGCCCACCTATCAGTCAGCTCAGCCTGAGGGCGCTCTCGCCCACACTCTCCGGCTGGCCACCCACTCACTAAATCGATCACCCACCCGATCGCTCACTCGTCCGTGGACCCGCGCCTCGCACGACCAGCGATGGGTGCTTCAAGGCACCCCAGGAGGCCAAGACTAACGCAAGGACGAGTCACTGCGAGGAGAAGAGCAGGGTGATCGACAGAGGAGAAACGAGAAGGGCCGACCGCGGTAAGTACCCCCGCCTGTCGCCCTCCTCTACCCTTCCGCCCAAAATCGTGCTACGCACCGCCAACCTCGTCCTCTCCACGTCCCCACTCCGTGCATACGCCCTCACTCGATGTTCTCGCTACCCAGGGAGGCTCTCGTCCGCCCGTTTCCGCCCGACTGTCACCCACTCCTTCGCCCACATTCCCACCGTCAGTCTCGCACCTCGACCTCTCAGCTGCCCACGGAACAGCACACTCGGGTGGAAATCAAGAATACTGGGCAGTGCGCTACCACCGCGCGCCCAGTATCCACCTCGCTGCAGCGAACGCAAGCCCGCGTCCGCGCGCATCACGCCAGTGAAGTAGCCGCGGCCGAACGGGCTACACTTGCGCATGCATCTAGGTTCCAACTTCCCGGACATTGCCCGCCCGTCCGCCGCAAGACCGCTTACCCGTGAACCCGCGCACCTTGCGCGCACCCGCCGTTACCCACTTTTAACTCGTACCCATTCGCAGGGGTCAGCACTCGGGGCGGGTAACGGCTCGAGGCCGACGACTATTATGATCACCATTTCCACACGACCCTGCGCAGAGACGTTGATAGATAGATAATAATACATATTACTTAGCTAATTACAATGCTACAAAAGGACCTCGAACTGACTTTGAGCCACGAGCTGAGCTCGATCACATGTTAACTCAGCCGGAGATGAGCTAATCATTTCAGACCAAGAGTTAAATATGCAGCTTGAAAGCTATCACGGAAAGTTGTATTCTGAGCCGGCTTAAGTCAATTAGGCGCCGAAGCTGCGGCAACACTACGCTCGTTCCGAAGCCGTCCGTTTCGCCCGAGGCCGGGGTTCCGTTGAGGCCGGCGTCCGGGACTTGCACGCTCGCTTGTCGGAGGGAGTGTACGTGCCTGACGGCTACTCCGGAATACCACGTCGCCTGCAGTTTGCACGCCCTCCGGACGTCGAGGCCATGGAGGAGGGAGAGGTCGAGGATGAGGTGGCGGAGGGACCTGCCGTTCATGTACAGTAGCCTTCCTCCTTCCGCATGTATTTGGTTGGGTGCTCGATTAGCTCTTCCGCCGTGTGCGTTCGCTTGTTCGACAATCGATGTTGCGTTCGCTTGTTCGACAATCAATGTTGCCCTATGCCGGTTGCTGCCCCTTCCCGTCTTGACTTGTACGTGCGATGTATTGAGGTCATGTATTGAGGTCGTGCCGCTGCTCCCATGTGGGCCCACCCCACAGCGCGAGGGCACCTTTGGCTTCGTCACCCTTGACGCAAACAACCCGTACTACGCCGGCTCGTGGCGCCAGCCCAACCGTCTCGGCGCCCGCAAGTGCAACAACGAAGGCTATACCGCGGTCTTCCACCGCGAGCTCCGGAAGCCGGCCCTCCGAGTCCCGATCTCGGGCATCTTTGCGACGGACATCGCTAAGAGTGGCAAGTGGCAGTTTTTCACCGTCGATAGCGCGTACGAGGAGATGCTCAGGACGATGAAAGTGAAGCACCTAGCAAACATCACGAACGGCGAGCCGGACCCTATCGTCCGTCTGTTCATCGAGGCTCCGACGGCGGACCCAGCGGAATGGGAGAAGTTCCGCAAAATCCTGCGCGCGCACGACTTCGGAACCCCTGCGACTGGGAAGCCCGAGCCCTTCACAGGCAAACTATGGTGCGCTTACTGTCACTCCGTGGATCATCCCGTCGGCCTGTGCGATTTGCTAAAAGTCGAGGGCTGGCACGACGTGATCCCCGGCTCTGTCGCGATAGCGGACCAGAACGGCGGACAAAAGAAGGCCAACCGAGATGCGGATCGCGGACGCCAGGAGAAGCGCGGAAACGGACGCGACAAGGGTAAAGGCAAGGCCGTAAACCGCAAGTAGACGACCCATGTCCTGCGTCGTGTTTTGGACGGACTAATGCCTACACACGCACGAGGACTATAGCCTGCACCCGCGCACTATATACCATATACTTCCTCTTATCATCCAGTCCTGCTCTACCTCGTGTCCCGACTTACGCGCTGCACATCCACCGATGCCTCACTTCTTGCGTCACTATACCGTGACTATCCTGACCTCGATACGATACATCAGGAAAAACACTTTCGGCGCCAAATGGTTTGGGATTTTTCCCAATTAGCATGAACTGGGATATGAGCGACAAAGAGCGGTTTATGACTGACAGAACCCGGTTGAGCATCTCTGCACGAGGTCTACGTATGTCAATACGTAGATTCTGCAGTTCTTGACACCACCAAAACTACATATCTGCTTCAGTAGCTACTATAAGCACATAATAATTGATTGTACGTCTCAACCGTTCACTACGCTTCACAAGCACACTCGTCTCGAGCTATGGGATTTCCACCACATTTTCAAGCACTGAAGAATGTACATTATTTGCGCCTCATTATAGTACATTGTACATGACTTTTGCGACCCGGAACACTACATGTCTGTACAATACAACCGTCAATGACAATGACAATATGTGCATCAAAATGCAGGGCCAGTATCGCATGGAAATGGCCCCACTACCAGACTCTGAGCCTCAGCCTCAGCCTCAGCCTCAGCCCATTCAACTTGCCACTGCCACTGCCACTGCCACACGTCACTGTCAAGCACGGGTACACCCGCAGGTATCCCGAGGTGTACCCGTACCCTTACCCACCCGGGTACAGACCCACCGCAGCAAGTACAGGTTATGTGCGGGTATGCGTGGGTCGGCGGGTCTACGGGCAGGTCGGCGGGTCAGAGCGGGCAGATGCTCTGCTTGAATGAGTAAAATGGGTGCTCGTCGGGGTTATTCAGATTTGCCTGGTAGACCTCGTCCGCGATCAGCACGAGCTCCTGCATTGTCTTCCGCTCGAGCAGTGCGCCAGTTGGGTTCCCTGGGTTAATCATGACCGCGCGGCGTCACACTCTCCCCATCTGTCCCGCCCCACTTGAGTGCCATGCTGATCTTGTTGAGCGACATCAACTAGCCATCCAACTCGGAGAGGTGGTACGGGAGCGCAACGTGGAGACCAAGCTGTCGAGCCACGGCAGCTTCCCGAACCGTTTCAGGTCTGTCGTGCTTGCCATGGGCCAGGACGCGCCAGCAGACTCGTCGAGGGGACCGGAGCTCGCACACATAGACGAGCAGCACTGTCGTCTTCTAGAGCAACATGCCCATGTGGCGACGTCTCAGCCGTTCGTGAGCGCATGGACAGGGAGACGAGCAATGTTCTCACCTTGTAATATCGCCACTCTCTTCGTCGCTCTCTGCTCGCTGCTGCGTTCTTCGTGCCGTGTTCGAGCCTTCTTGCGTTGATCACGCCCTTCCTCCGTCCGATCGTGTATGGCTTCGAGCTGACATGTTTTCACAGGTCGCTCGGTGCATGTCGCTGCACGGGGCACTGGTCCAGACGCACATCTCCGCGTGTCTGTCCTGGTCAAGCACACTTCAGTGAGGTGCATACGTGTCTGTGTCGATGAACACCCGCACTGCCTGACGTACCTCCTAGCCCACGTCCTCGTCCTCCTGATCTCGAGCCATCCGCTCTTCCCGTGGTCCTGGTACGTACGTCGTGCCCTCAGCCTGATTGCGCGTGCTAACGCGCCTCTTCCGCGGGCCAGTGTCACGGCGACACACATCCAGTGTGTGTGAATGCGCTGACCTTTCCCGCTCGTCTCCTTGCCTGCTTGCCCGCCCACTCAACCGGCCGCCCGCTCGCATGCCCACTTGCCAGCCCGCTTCCCTCCCCGGTTGTCTCCTCGCTCGACGCTTGTCTGCCCCGCCACCCATTCGTCGGCCGTGTCTGCACGCAGGGCATTGGCCCGCGTGCTCGCGGTCGTCGTAGGCGTCGCGCAACGGACTGGTGCTGCACGGCTGCAAAGTCGCGCGTTCGGGCTCGTTGTGCTGGAGCAGTGGGATGGCGCGAGCGCTGCGTGGTTGTTATCCAAACGCAGCCCGTCCCAGCGATTGCGCATGTGGCCGACACGCGTCCAGCGACTGCGGTACGTCTTCCGCGCTGTTCTTTTCTGTACGTCCGGCATTGCTGACGCGCGATCCATCCTTTCAAGATGCTCCTCCAGTGCAGCATCGACAACGGGCGAGCAAGCGAGACCAGCAGGGTGGGCGAGCTAGCGAAGAGGTTGGAATGGGCATACCAACGAGCTCGCGAGGGCGTGAGTAGGCAGACGAGCGGGGCTGGTGTGTGCGAGCGCGTTCAAAGGGGAGGCAGCGAGAAGCTGGGTGGTAAGTTCGAGGCCGAGGCGAGCGGATGGATGAGCGGATGAGCGGACGAACGAACGAACGGACGGACGAGTGAACGAGGGAGCGAATGGGCATGCGAGTGAACGGGCGAGTGGATAGGTAGGCGAGTGAACGTACGGGCAGGCGAGCCGGCGAGAGGGTGAGCGGTCGGGACACGGGCGAGCGGACGGGCGAGCGGACGGGCGAGCGGACAGGCGAGCTGGCGGGTGAGCGGACATGTCAGTGGGCGGGCACGTACGAATGGGCGAGTGGGCGGACGAGCGGGTAGGTGGCCGAATAGGGGATGGACATTGGAGCGGGCGGGCGAGTGGGAGAGCGGGCGGGCGAGTGGGAGAGCGGGCGGGCGAGCGGGAGAGCGGGCGGGCGAGCGGGCGAGTAAACGATGGGCGAGTAAACGAATGGGCGAGTAACGGATGGGCGAGTAACGGATGGGCGAGCAAAGAAGGACACAGTACTATAGTGCGCACCTTATGGCTTCTGACTCGGAGCGCTGGGCCCTGGCGCTGAGTCTTCACGATCGTTCTGCTTTCCTTCTTCCCGACTCGCCCTCCCGTCCCACGCACCCTGTCCCTTCTCGTTCCGTGTTCGTATTCATGTTCGAAGATCAGGAGACGGCGCGGAAGCTTCGACGCAGACGCAACGGAGGTGGTTGTGGTGGTAGTAGCAACAGTGGGCGAGTTGCAAGTCCGAGGAGCTGGTAACTGCGCAGCTAAGCACACGGACGGGCGTACGAATGAGCGTGGATATGGGCAGGTAAGTGAGTCGGGACAGAAGGGTCGAGGTGATGCGAGAACAGGCGGTCAACATGCGGGTTCATGGAGCGGATGGCGGTCGTCGAAACTCGAGACTTGAAGTGTGCAACTAGTTGCACACCATATATGGTAAGTCATCTTAGCTCGATCGCGAGTCGCTCACCTTGGCTCTGCAGTACTGCAGCCCCATGGCGTCTCACACTTAGTCTACCAGTCTGCGCATCCTGCTTGAATACTAGTGCGTCTGTCTACGCATCTGGCTTGCCCGCCCTCTCGCGCCCGCCCGCTCTCGCTCGCCCGCCCCTTCTCTTCTGCCTGCCCTCACCCTACGACTAGCTTGGCCCACCTGCTTGCTCACCCAATCCACGGAACTCTGCCGCGCGACTCAGGTCTCGTACAACGCGCGTAAAAGTCTACTGTTGAGCGAGAAGTCCGCGCGAACCGCAAGAAATGCGGGGCGAGAAGGTCGAGAGGTACTCAAGAGGTGCGTTGTGTGGTATTACTATATATGGCTCGCAACTCGTTGCGACCATTTCTAACTGTCCGCAAACTCTGTCCCAGTACCACGTCCATGGCTCTGGAACACGCAAGCATGCCGCGCGACCGAGGACTTGCACAACGCGCGTGCAAGTCCAGCGCCGAGCGTCAAGACCGCGCGAACTGCAAGAAACGCAGGCGAGGAGGACGAGAGGCGAGCACGAAGGGACCGGAGGTGGGAGAGTGCGGATCGAGTGGATAGAACGGGCACGAAGGCTCGAATTTCCGGGGTATGTACGCCTCTACTACTTGACGCACCCTCCCCTCACCTCGCACCAGATGCTGGCATGCTCATGTATGAATACCTGTTGTTAGCACAAACAGGTCATACATAAATCCCAGTACTTACAAGTCCCCTTCATGTATGAAGGCACAGTAATCACTGCAGCCGGCGCCCCGCTCGCTACCCGAAAGGGCAGCTGCCCTTTAGGGACAGCTCAGGTCGCCCGGCGCCGGGAAGAGCTCGTGGTTACCTAAATAGGTCCTATCGCACGCCCTTCCACTTTGGGTGCTGTCGTGGGCACAGATCGGGCGAATGCGATCGTGATTTGTGATCAGCTCGATCTGACATGTTCTAGGGCTAGGTACAGCACCATATATAGCCACGACCTGTTTGGCACAGTGCCTGAATAGCAGCACGTATGTTTCGCACCATGACATATGCGCTGCATATGTCGCACTGCACGACAATACAAAAGGCGGGGCATTCGGGAAATGCAGAAAGACAACTAGAGCATATATATAGTCTCTGTCATTGCAAGTTGCGGATGTACGATACTGTGGGGCTCGCAAATAGTTAACGGGGATAGGCTAGTTGTACTACACGTCGATGCAGAGAGCATCATCTGCGAGACATATCAGCGCAGTTGCAACATGGGTGATGAGGTGGTCGTACCTTCACGAACTCCGAGGGTGCAAGGAGGATGGCACAGATGTTAGAGAAGCAACGGGCACCGAACAGCGAAGACGCACCATTGTAACCATCACCATCGACATCCACCTCGCAAATCATCTCGTCGACCTCGTTGTCCGACAGCTTCTCGCCTGCGCACCACCCGCATGATCAGTGCCGCTGCCTCTCTATGCAGACGAGGGCACTCACCGCGGTTGGTTATAACACGCCTGAGCTCTGCAGCAGAGATGTAGCCGCTGCCGTCCTGATCGAAGACCCTTAACACTTCCTTGATCTCCTCCTGGCTGTCCGTGTTGCGCGTCTTACGCCCCATCATCGCGAAGGACTCGGGGAAGTCGTGCCATTCGGGCTGTCCGTGTCGATTTTCGTTGATCATGTCTTGCAGCTCCGCCTCCGTCGGGTTCCGCCCAAGCGAGCGCATCGTTTTGACGAACCCACTGACACACCTCTATTGGTCGATGAGCCACGACACGCTCGTCAACGCGCGGTCCGACATAATCGTTGACGAGAGGGTGGGTCTGGGGTGGGTAGTAGATTAGTGCATGTGCATTGATGGCCAGGCCAGACAAGCTTACCTGGTTGAAATCATTCCTGAAATGCGTACCCGAGCCTCCGCCGTTGCGTTCGTGCAGAGTTAAACATGAAAGCGAGACGGTAGAGGTACAGTAGCTCGTAGAAGTGAGGTGAGCCTTGCGGGCGCCCGTAAACTCAACGTTTGTGTCTATTTGTTGCCTCGCCAAATCTGGCATCCCCGATGTGCTCGGGCTGCTCCTGACCAATCAGAACGCGTTTAAAGGTCCTACTTAGGCCTGCAACATACGTGCGACTCGCTTTCTAGGCTTTTCGCACTGTGTGTGCATGTCTTAGGGATTAGATACGATTTTAGTTATGTATACTACAACGGATAAGATGCAGTAGTGCAACACACAACCCCTCGTTCTCGTGTACAGTAGGGATGACGACACTACTACTATACTGTACTGGTTCTCTGAGTCTCGGCGGTCACAAAGAGTGTTGTAGCGTGATATACATATACCGAACTCACTTTCATAAAGTATATTCTTACTATCATTACAGGTTCTATATATACGAACACATTGGCCGTGTCTGCATGCAGGGGCAGCAGGGCAGTCGCCCCGTGCGTTCGCGGTTGCTGCGTGTTGCGCGCGCCCCTACTCTGCCCGCCGTCACGGTCACCCCTGCCATCCGCTCGTCGGCCGTGCTTGCGTGCTGGGCATTCGCCCTGCACGCTCGCGGTCGCCGTGCGTGTAGTGCTCGTCCGCACTCTGTGTCTGCCCGCTTTCCCTCTCGCCCGCCTGCCTTCTCGCCCGCCTGCCTTCTCGCTCGCCCACCCACCCGCTTTACCACTCACCTTCTCTTCCACCCACCCACCCACTCGTCTCCTTGCCTGCTCGTACGCTTGTCCGCCCGTCCGCCCGTCCGCCTGCCTGCTCGTCTGCCCTCCCGCTCGTCCGCCTGCCCTCCCGCTCGTCCGCCTGCCCTCCCGCTTGTCCACCCGCTTAACTGCCTGCGTGCCAACTTTCTCGCCTGCTCACCCGCCCGCGTGTGCATCCGTTGGTTGTATCTGCGTGCTGGGCACTCGCCCAGCGCGCTCGCGGCGGGCGTGTGCTGGCGCCTGCTCGCTCTCCTACCCGTCTGCTTGGCACTTGCCCACCCATTCGCTGGCCTGTCTGTCCGCCTGACCGCTCAGCTGGCCGCCCTTGTGGTACGCCCATCGGCTGCGTGCTCACGCGGGGCATTAGCCCTACGCGCTCGCGGTCGACGAGTATGCTGCACTGCACGTCGCCGCGTCCTGTGGCTACGGTCAGCTCGCTCGGTCGTGTATGTCTGCGCTCACCTCGATGCAAGTGTCGGATACTCGCTGTCGTCGTGCCCGCTGTGCTCCAACGATGTCGGTGACCGACACGGGATGGTGCCAGTGGAGGTCGTAAACGGCGGGCGGAAGCGCTCGCCGCGAGCTCGGCTCGTTGCGAGCTCCCGGGTTTGGCCGAAACCGACGCCACACGGCGGGCGGTGGCGCAAGGGATTCAAGATCGTACCTGATCTGCGATGAACAACCCCGATGTGCATCCATATGGGGCAGCCTCGCGTCAGCTGCCCCGCCGCGGACGAAGGGACCGGGCTGCCCCGGGGTGGCTGCTATAACGGGTAACGGCCGACGGCGCTTCGCTCATACATGAGTGAGTGGCAGCTCATGTATGAGAATAGGCCTTGGTAAGTACAGGCGTTTATGTATGATACCTTTGCGCTAACTACAGGGATTTCATACAAAGATATGCCTATATGGCCTGCACCTCGGTTGACAGCTATTACTTTACATGGTTCGCAAGTACTGGCGAACATTTCGATCACGTCGTCCCCACGCCCTCAGTACTAATCTCGCGCCGTCCATTTCGACTCAGGCGACAGTCGTCCCGCGGTTCTGGCGACAAGCACTGCAGCCGCATGATACGGGACTCACACGACGCATGCGCGAGTTCAGCACGAAACGATCAGACTGCGCGGAATGCAGCAAACGATGAGCGAGAGGAGTACGAGACACACACGAAGGGATGGAAGGAGGAAGGGTGTGGCATGAGTTGGGAAAACGAGCACAAAGGCTCTGCAAATAAAGGTACACCCTCGCTAGACGTCCCCGCTTCGACTTACAATGCCCGCGCCAGCAGGCGTAGTGACGAACGGGAAGCTCGTCGTGCCCTCTGCTAGCGCGGCACTAATGACACAGAATTCTCGCCTCCCGGGACGACTCCGGCATTCCTGTACCACCCGCCTGCGAAGGCCTCTCTCCCTCATGTCCGTGCCCCCGACGCACCGCATCCTCTTCACGCAGGGCGGCGGCTCGATGCAGTTCTCTGCCGTCGTCCTGAGCATGCTCGCGCGGCACCGCCTACTGCGCCCCAAGCGCATGACGGAGGACACGGTCCTAGGCTAGGTCGTGACTGGCTCGTGGAGCAAGAAGATGGTCGGAGGCTCGGTGGGGCACAGGTGAACATCGTCGTCGACTCGCGCGGGTTCTCAGAGGGCGGGAAGGCGTTCGACAGTATCCTGCTGCACGTAGTGCATTGCAGGGGTACGCCCAACCCGCGTGGGTCGCGGGTAGGGGTCCCGGTAGCGATTTCCGTACCCGCCTACCCGCCCTGCAGTCGTGCGGGTATTGCCAAAAGCGGCAGCCCCGCGAGCGCCCAAACTCGCGGGTCTCCCCCTCTCGAGTCTCCTTCAAGCTTCAAGTTCCACCAGGTCGACTCGCCCACGCCCACGGTCTCAGCCTCAGCAACACGGCGCACAAGCGCGCGGCGAGCACCCGCAAAGACCGCGTGTGCGAACGCAATGCGAACGCAGCCGAGGAAGCCACCGCGAGCCCGGGCGCAGCAACGAACGGACGACAGGCCTGGATGACGAGTAGACGGCGGACAGGGGTGGGTGACTGGCGGGGACGGGCGAGGGCGAGGGCGCGGGCGCGGGCGAGGGTGAGGGCGAGGGCGAGGTGAGTTCAGGTACCCACGAGTCGGCTCACTAACAGCAAGCACAGGACGCCCCGACGTGCAGCACGACGCGCACGACGAGCGCGAGCACGCAGGGCCAATGCCCTGCGTGTAGGCACGGCCGACGAGCGGGCGGCGGGCGGACGAACGGACCACCGAGCTAGGTGAGCGAGCGGGTGGGTGAACCACCAGACACGTGGGCGGGTGGACGAACGGAGGGCCAAGGTGCACGCGGGTGGAGCTGGCAGGCGGGAAAACGGGCGGGTGAGCGGGCGAAGGGACAGGTGAGTGAAATAACACACACCCCGACCACCAGCATGCAGGGACGGCTGGCGAACGCGCGCATGAGCGAGCGGCCAGGTGAACAAGCGCACGGGCGGGCGAGCGTACGAGCAGACGAACGCGTCGGGCAGACGAACGCACGGGCCGACACATGCCAGTGGATGGGCGGGCGCGTGGGTAGGTGGACGAAGAGGTGTCGCGCAGCACGACACGCACGTCGACCGCGAGCGCGCCGGACAAGTGCCCAGCGCACAGACACGGCCGACGAACGCACACGCAAGCGAACGGGCGGGCGGACGAGCGAACGCACAGGTGAGCAGTCAGACGAGCGAACGAATGGGAGAGCTCACCGGTGAATAGTTTGGAAACCGGGAAGGCGGGCGGGGAAGCGGGGAGAGGGGCGGGCAGGGAGGCAAGCGGACGAGCAAGCCGGAACGCGCGACGACACGCACGGCAACCGCGAGCGCGATGGGCAAATGCCCAGCGCGCAGACACGGCCAACGAACGCACGCGCCGCGAGGCGGGAGAACGAGCAGGCAGGCCAGCTGGCATGGACGGGGACACGGTGCGGACAAGCACCACACGCATATCGACCACGAGCGTGCTGGGCGAATGCCCAGCACGCAGACGTGGCCGATGAACGCCGGGCGGGCATACGGGCGAGCGAAGGACGAGTGAGAGTGAGGTGGGCACACGAACGAGGCGGGAGGGCAGGCGAGCGGCGTGTACAGACGGGAAGTGCGCGGACTCTCCCGTCGGCGGGTACGGAGCTGTCGGGGACGCACGGGCGGATGGCGGGATCGCGCGAGCGCGAGTGCGGAGGACGGCGAGCGGGGAGGATGGAGGGTGAGGGCATAGCAGCGAGGACAACGGGTGCACCGTTGACCCGCCAACTTGCCCGCACACTCGCTCGCTCGCTCGCCTGCCTGCGCGAGCCTCCCCGCCCTCCTGCACACTCCCCCACTCACCCACCTATTCGCTCGCCCACCCGCGCATGGACCTGCAGACCCGCCGTACCCGCACGTGACCCGTACCCGTGAAGCGGGTACGGTACCAGGGCGGGTACGGGTACGGGTAAGCCCCCGGACACCCGGGGGTTTACCTGCACGACATGTTCAAGTTCTGGAGGACCCCGCGCTGATATACTACTGCGAGAACGAGATGGTGGACGGCGTGGAGTTCTCGCATGAGGACGCGTCCCCGGCGTCATTCCCGTTCCATCTCCTGAGCATGAGCAGCGGAATTGTTCTGCTGGTTGCAGACTACTCATGTTACACCACTCATTGGGACCTCCCCACTCGCCCTCGCACCCAGGGCCCAGGATTCGAAACAGATAGCTCACACCTGGATAAAGATCTGCGTGTGGTGAGCAATAACGAGTGCCTGGGCTACACTGTAGTGTGTATGTCAAACATTTTGCGTGTGTGATGTACCCCAAGATGTTAGTATAGTATGGCTTGTCGGCAGGAGGTGAACTACCATGGATAAACGGATATCATATCCAATGTGGACTTTTACGGTGTCATGTTCACTGGTGTTGACTCTTTACTCTGTGCTATGTCTGATTCTCATATTCTTGTAGGTTGTATCCTTGTAATGAATAACCAATTTATGTTCAGTACTTGACGACTCTTTGACACTTGTGATCAAACATTGACGGAGTGAGAATTGCCAGAGTTTGATACTGTGTGCACTTGTGGCTGACTCAGACTCTCATGGTTCACTTATTGGTGCGGCCGCCGACTCTTCGTTGTCACGTCTCTCACTATGTCGCCGCGCGATACTAGGTCGAAAGCCGCAGCAGCAGCAAAGGCGAAGGTCGGTGGGGGGAGCGCAAAGCCCCCCGTCAAGTCGACTCGCGGTAAGGCCAAATCGGCAGCCAGTGCCCCTGGTCCATCGGGCAGCATACAAGATGAAGCGACGGCGGCCCCCAACATGAAGGAAGTGCTCAAACAGCAGTATCCGCACCTCTCAAAGAAGAAGCTGAACGAGATGCTTCACAACCTCAACACCGCCGCGGAGAAGGATGGAGTTTCTGAGAAGGATCGTCGACAAAGTACGTAGTATCGCCATTCACACTGTGTATCAGCATACTACTAGCATATTGTGCCACAGAGATCAAGGACGACAACGAGCCTTAGTCGCCAAGGAAAAGGTGTCGGATACAGAGAAGGAGTCAGAGGATGATGAAGGAGAGCTGGTTCCATCGGCGAGCAAGGGCAAGAAGAAAGCGAACGGTGAGTAAACGCACAACTAGTGAGTGGCGAGCTCATCTTGCGTTAGTTCCATCGCCGCCTAGGCCCAAGCCTCGCCCACGCAAGAGGAAGGCGACTGAGACCCCCGAGAAGGAGGCGAGCGATGACGAGGCGGCGTGGAGCAGCCTGAGAAGAAGAAGGCAAGACCCAGCTGGCAAGTAAGCCAGCTGGTCAGGACGCATCGGCAGCCGACACGCGTGACGAGCGCAAGAGGAGGTCAGACGTCTGGTGAGCGTCATGTTCTTCGGAGCATACGGTCCTGTTTTGACGCATACCTCGCAGAGGTGTCGCCTGGACGCAAGAGTGTTGTCATACCGGAGGTGGTCATCCAGTCCTCGCCCCCGGTGTCGCGCTCGAAGGCGCCCAGGCAGGAGGAGGACCTGGCTGCATCCCTTGGTAAGTCGCTCAAAGAGTCGCGTATTTTACTAATTCGACTCGGAAGCAGGCTCAGGTACGAAATCAGCCAAGCAGACGCAGGGCGTTGCGAAGCCTCCGGAGAAGAAGACTTTCCTGCGTCTGGAGGACAGTGACGAGGAGAATGAGGACGATGACGAGGAGGCAGGTGAGGGTGACGAGGTCGAGGTCGAGGACGAGGTCGAGGAAGGTTCTGGACAGGGCGGTGAGCCACTGGTGTGTCTTACAACTCACGCTGATGACTGACATCTGTGACAGCAGGTTCGCCATCCAGAGCAGGAAAGGGTGCAGCAAGGCGTACTCGTCGCGTCAAGATGGAGTCGATGTCCCCCATCCACGTCCCGGACGACTCTGACGACGATGGCAGCGAGTACAAGGTGTCGAGTCACGACCGAGAGGAGGACATTGACGAGCTTGATGGCGACGTGGACATGGATGACGAGGTGAGACTGTGGCTTGGAAGGCGGTGTTTGACTGACTTTTGGCCTAGATCGTCGTCAAGGTCAAGGACAAGCCTCAGCAGAAGAAGAAAGAGAAAGCGCAGAGCAAGGGCAAGCGCAAGGTCGCCGGCCTAAGAAGGTCATCGACGTGACAACAACGTGCTCGAGACGATGACGCAGGAGCCGTTGAAGAGCTTCCTGCACCACGCCCAGCAGGAGTTCCGCGTGTACCTCAGCTTGGAGAACGCGTGGCCTCGAGTCATGAAGGACGGTCGTATGGAGAAGACCGAGAAGCCCGTGGAGATCATGAAGATGCTCATGGAGAAGCACGAGAGGTACAAGACCGAAAGGTTCTTGACCGCGTACAACAGGGCGTGGGCAGATGCAGTGACACATGGGAGGATGATCCACTATGTGAGTCGTCACTTCATTTCTCAGCGGTGACATGAGCATCGAGCAGATTGTCAGGTCGCGAAGGTGTCATCTCAACTTCGTCAGGAAGTCAAGCAGAAGGCAAAGCGCGTCGTCGAGAAGAACTTCCTCGCGTTCAAGGTGCCGCAACACGGCTCTGACGGCAAGAAGCTCAGCAGTGCTGCGTACAACGAGAAGACGGCAGTCACCTCGAGGCTCTCGTGAAGTTCTTGAAGCAGGACTTCGCATTCCATCACGGCAACTTGGAGATGCCAGATCCGATGGTGGATCCCTCGGTGCGTGTGCGTGCCAATGTCTAGGTACGGCTTACTGATATGTATTAGCTGTGGGTGGCCAACCTGGACGCTCCCTTCCACAACGAGGCTGTGGCTGAAGTCGCAGCTCGTCAGTGGTGGTCTGGAGCTCATCGGGAGGCCATGCGGCCTGAGAACCACGCGCGGTTCGACATCAACAAGCAGCCCCTGTCGAGCAACATGATAGCTCTGGTCTGCTCCGCGGTGAGTACGGTACCCTAGGTACTGAAGCCGCTATTCAAGTCATCGTGCATTAGATCATCGTTGCGCTGGATGAGGCCGTCAAGGTGAACGTCACCGTCAGCTTCGACGAGAAGACATACGCCACCGAGTAAGGAACATTATTTGTTTATAGCGCCGGCCTAACTGGGCTTTGTAGGCACGATCGTCTGAAGGTCAGCATCGACAACCTGCGGCGCTGTGCGGACCCGAGTGACCCGTCAAAGTACGACGAGGGCTGTGCTCGGTTCTGCAAGTCTATGGACGAGACGTTGGCGAGCACCATACGGTAAGTACATAGCCTGTTGCTGACGCTGTGCTGACACAACATGGTGTATCTCAGGAGGCTTGCAGGGATCTCGAGCACGAGCGTAGACGACGACGACGAGGCAGCTGAGCCTAGTACCGTCACCCGTGGCATTCCTACGGCCGCAATCTCGCGCATCTCCAAGCTGTGGGCGCCGAAGAACACTGGCACGAAGGCTAGTGACGAGCCGGCGGCGGCAGCCTCGGCGAGCGGGTCAGGCCAGGCTAAAGAGCGTGAAGGGGATGCAGAGGCCCCGTCGACCGCGTAGAGGCCGTGTAGGACGTGTGCCGGTGCGTTCACTGACGGTCTGACATGGAACATAATTTCTGAAGCTGAATAGGTCTTGTATTGTGGTGTACGTTTGTCAGGTGGTGGAACCGAAGGGCAGTACGTCTCACGCTCCGTTTCGTGTACGATCATCTTCGTCGAGGTTCTCTACATCATGTACGTTGTATTCGGACTCCTGTCATTCTGCGCCCATGCCTACGCTGTCCTCTCCGCCTCTCTGTAGCTTTTACTGGGCTCAAACACCAGCTGCATTACTAACATCGCTCTCATACCCACAAGCTGGTGGTATACCCTGTATAGCTACGTGTTGTGATCATGTATTACTGTATGCACCGTCGATACCGCAATGAACTGTTCGCTCGCATTGCCTACTGAAGTGCATCATGATCCATTTATAACCGTGCTATGGGCGCAATATGCACACTTTGAGAGCTCTTGATTAGCAATCTCAACCTCTTAATGAGTAGGAATTGGACGTTGGTTTTATCACTCACAAACCGGTTTATTATTGCTTTTTGAGTGGGAAACCCAATGCTGGGCTGCCCTGACAAATGGCGGTTGAAAACGCACTTCAAGGAATAAATAAAAATAAAAAGCTGCTTTTGTCAAACAATTCCTCTTGAGACCGAGGCACTTGTGTTGAGATTGGTTGAGGCGGTTTGGCTACTTTGGCGCTCTCAAAGCACTCTCTGTTGCTCTTCAGAGGGCCCAAGCGTCTGGGCGGTTTTCCCTGATGTATCGCTACTCTATTACGATCGCACGCGCCCGACCCCTTTCTTGACGACGTACCCTCGACTCTGTATCTCGCTTCGCCTGTCTAAGGCTGGTATACAAACCTGACAGTGTCTATGTGTACTACCTATCTTTAAGCTGCGAATGGATACACGCTTTATTCGCGAAATACTGCAGGCCCACGAAATAACCTAGAATACACCCAGAATGTACCCTCGAGCTCCCCCCAGTCGCGAAACAAATTGGGCGAAGGAAGTGCAATAGCGGGGTGCACCGTACTAGCAAGGAAGTCCCACTACGACCGATACCATTGCTACCAACTTGATCATAGCTCCCTATGAGATCCGAATTCATGTCTATACTAATCAGACATCGGCACCCGAGACGGCCCAAATTTACTGACTGCGCAAGCGGGACAGGAAAGCCGAGGACGGCGCTGAAGTCTTCTTCTCCCAGCGAGGGTACTTCGAGACTTACCCTCGGCCGAGAGGCCAAAGTCGCTCTGCTACTGGGTAGCATCCGACAGGTCACCTGAGAGACTCAGGAGTAGTCTCCGACCACCGCGCATCGTTGTAGCAGTGGAATTGTAACGCAACGGCATCATCATCCAAACTAAACACACCACATACGGACGAACACACGGCAAACGGCATAAGTGACCCCCGCCGGAGATGGCGAACGGCGTCCCCTTTCCACAGTGAACCAGATGAACTGACGGGGGAAAACGGAGAGAGGGCTGACCTCGACACTGATCGACCAGATCGGAGACTGGCGGTCGAGAGTCTGAACCAACCAGCTAGTCAAAACACTGAACACAACGCGAGGTACGATACGAGCCACAGGAGCGGAAGGAAAACGAAGGCGACCTTAAAAGTCGGCTCACTCAACATTAACGGTAGAGGCACAACCTCGGGAACATCGAATAACAAATGGAACGCGCTAAACGCTTTGATGCGTGAACAGCGAATAGGTATCATGGCAATCCAGGAGGCCCACCTGGATGACGAAACGGTACAAACCATACACCGCCTTTACGGACGAAGAATGAAAGTTCTGTTCTCCAGCGACACAGACACCACAAATGCGCGAGGCGTCGCCTTCGTACTAAACAGGGAGATAGTAGACATAGCAGGAGCAGAAATGACAACCTTGGTCCCAGGAAGAGCGGCAGTACTCTGCCTGACATGGCACGGCCAATCGAGACTGGAGATCCTTAATGTATACGCACCAAACCAGCCCAGCGAGAATGAAGGCTTCTGGGAGAACCTGTCGGCTCTATGCATAACAAGGCATAAACCGAACGTTGTACTGGGGGACTTTAACATTGTCGAAGACTCCGTCGACAGACTACCACCCAGGGAAGACAACAACGCGGCGATAGTGGGTCTGCAAGGCCTAATGCGTGACCTTGGACTAAAAGATGGGTGGCGCGAAACGGAACCTAAAACACGGGACTACTCGTTCCCTCAACGAGCGGCAACGTCGTGGTCACGTATAGATAGAATTTATGTCGCAGAAGAGCTCCTGAAATGCTCTAACGAGTGGCTGATAGAAACGACCGGAATCCCAACTGACCACCGACTCGTCTCAGTGCAACTGAGCGCACCCCAGGTGCCATACATCGGAAAAGGGAGATGGACCCTCCCTATTCAGTTACTAAAGGACACGAACTTCACCGATAAAGTAATAGCCCTGGGACGGGAAACGCTCCAGAGGGCAAAAGCACACGCCTCGGCGGGCACACGGACAACGGGGATGAATCCCCAGACCATACACTGCGACTTCAAACGCAGAGTCATAGAGATGGCCCGTAAAATCATGAAAGGGAAATGCCCCAAACTAGTGGCGACAATAAAGAAACTAAACGAAAACGCGAAGAGTTTACAGTGTGACCCGAACTTCGCACATGACAGACACTCCAACGGGAAGCTGCGGTGATACATGACCGGGTAGTGGAATTGGAGAAGAAGCGTTACAACATCACCCGGGCAACAACAGCTGCGCGGTATGCACTACACGGCGAAACGATGACAAAATATTGGTCCGGGATAAACAAAGCAAAGAAACCGCGGGACATAATATACATGCTTCAACGCCCTGGAACGACACCCCCGGAATATGAACGCCGCTCGGACAAAATGGCTGAGCTGGCCCGCAACTATCACGATGACCTACAGAGCCAGGATGGAGCACAGATCCTGGACGAAGCTCTCTGTCGAGCAACCTTGATGGAAGCGACGACGCCCTTGAGCGCAAGCGACAGGAATCAAGAGTACCACGAACTCACCGCTCCCATAACGGTGGCCAACATACAAGAAGCACTTGCGAAGACACAGACCGGGAAAGCCACTGGTCTTGACGGCATACCCTATGAACTGTGGACGACTTTCAATGACATGCACAAGAAAGCGGACGATAACGCACGATCGTTTGACTGCCTAGAGCTCCTCCGCGTTGTATACCGTGACATTGACAGGTTTGGAGTTGAAAAAGAGAGTGCTTTCGCTGATGGGTGGCTATGTCCCCTATACAAAAAGAAAGACCGGCGGGACGTAGCAAACTACAGACCGATCACACTTCTCAATACAGACTATAAGCTGTACACGAGGATATTAGCCACTCGCCTAGCCCCAGTAGCGTTAAAGATCATCCACCCCGACCAGGCCGGCTTCCTCCCAGGCCGCAGGATCACGGACCAAACACAGCTATGCCGGTCCATGATTGATTACGCGGAAGCCACGGAGGAAAACGGTCTGATAGTGGCTTTGGATCAGGAGAAGGCATACGACAAGATACGACATGACTACCTGTGGATGGTCCTTGAAATTTTCGGACTGCCCACTGAACTCATCAAGAGGTTAAAGAGCATATATGGATCAGCGTCGACACTGGTCATCATAAATGGTGAATGCAGTACCTATTTCCAAATAATACGTGGGGTGAGACAAGGCGACCCACTATCGTGCCTGCTCTTCGACCTCGCAATCGAACCCTTGGCCTGCCTCCTACAGCGATCCACCCTCAAGGGATTCTCCATCCCTGGACTAACAGAACGCCTGTTAGCATCCCTCTTCGCCGACGATACGTCCGCGTTCCTCTCACAAAACGACGCGTGGGAGCAACTCTGGCATATCCTCGAACGGTGGTGCGCGCTCTCCGGGGCCCGCTTCAACAGGGAGAAAACGGAGGTAATCCCGATAGGAACGGAGCAGTACCGAGCACAAGTAGTGGCGACCCATCGGATCAACCCTACTGTGACAGGGAACACCATACCAGAGCATATACATGTTGTGAAGGACCAGGAAGCGACGCGAGTACTGGGTGCCTGGATAGGAAACAAAGTGAATGAAGCCGCTGTCTGGGCCCCAGTAGTCCGGAAGGTGGAGACTTTCCTCGAGAGATGGGGACAGAGTCACCCGTCCTTCAAAGGGAAAAGGTACATCATTCAAATGGGCCCGGGAGGAATAACACAATACCTCACAACGGTACAGGGCATGCCAAAGTCTGTCGAAAAGTCTCTAAGTAAAACAATTAGAAACTTCGTCTGGGGCTCAGATGCCATACCTTCGGTGAACCAGGACACGCTACACCTTCCCATAGAAGATGGAGGCCTAGGCATTCTGGACCTAAAATCACGCAACGAAGCCATTGAGATAATGTGGCTCAAGCGCTACCTTACCCTCGGTACAGAGAGGCCCAGGTGGGCTTTCGTAGTGGACGCCGTTATGGCCATCCGTGTTACGAAAGATGCGGGAGCCATCCGGAGGAATGCGCAGGTGAATACCTTCCTCCAGGACTGGCACCCAGCGGGCCACGCGAACTCCCGCCTACCCGACTACCTGAAGCGAATGCTGAAGGTGGCAAAGCAACACAATGTCTCCTTTGCGGCGGTGACCCTGAGCAATGACGTGAAGGCAGGCCTTCCCGCCTGGTACCACATAGGCACGGACAAACAGCTGCGAAGGCTGAATAATGCCCCTGTAAGTAACTGTCTGCGAGATGTACACAGCGTGAGCCTGGTAACAGACCTCGTGAAATTGGCACAACACGTCACCATCCTCACCGACGGCGGCGACGGTCCAAGTGAGTGTGAATGCATGGAATGCCGGACCAATCGTATACACGGATGTCATAATCCCGAGCGATGCTATGAAGCGGCCGGGAAGCTGCTCGGCCACCTAAGCGAAAAATGGAACCCGAGGACGGACACTGCCCCGGATGGCCTCACCCTCACGCATAGGCGCCAGGAGAAAAACGGAAAGGCCATCGAGAAAGGCGGACAGACCACTTTCGACCCTTCTTTGACGCTGAGGGGCGGAGTAGCGGAAGCTTTCCGCGCATTCGTGGCAATGCCGAATATAGCAAACCCACCAGCGATTAGACAACGTCGTGGACGAGTGGTGGAAGACGAAGCGCAGACGATCCTAGTCCTCGGCGCCCCGAAGGACGAGAACACCGAACCACCTGACGCAGAGGGGAGCGAAGACATTGGTTTCGTATATGTAGCGAGGAACAGCGAGCGAAACTCCCTGGTCCGAGCCCACCCATCAAGTGGAAGGAACGCGAGCCCATGGAGTGAACTAGTGGCCGCCCTGAAGGCGGCACAAGACGCCCCCCCTGACACACCACTGCACTTTATAGGCGAGACAAACAGCCTGTCCGAATACCTCGTCCGTGACCTGCCGCGATGGGAGGACAGAGGCTGGATCGACGTGCCGAACAACGCACCGGCGAAGGCACTAGTCAATACCCTTCGCAAGCGCTGTGCTGTGACAACCTTCAGACAAGCAACCGGAGTGGGAGACAGGCGTAAGCTGGAACTTGCAAGACGTGAGGCGAAAACGCTGTGTCGGTCTGGAACGGCGCCCACCCCGTGAACATGGAACTTGACCCGACCTTCGACCTGTCGGGGGCGAGACTAGATAAACTGACGCAAAAGCTCGCGTACCGCGGTATCATAGCCCGTAAGTGCGTGGCGCCCCGCAGACGGACGATCCAAAGTCTAGCAAATATTAGAGACGGGGTACTCACATTGCAAGGGAAGTTGATCGCAAACGAAGACATATGGCGGAGCCTGAGATGCCCTGACATTAGAAAGCCGATCAGCGACTTCCTGTGGAAGAGCGTCCATGGGGCACAAAAGTGTGGGAGTTATTGGGAGCATATACCTGGCTATGAGGAACGAAGCCGGTGCCAAACGTGTGGACAGCTGGACTCACTAGGACACATCCTCCTCGAATGCAAGGCAATCGGGTCGGCCACAATATGGAGCATGGCGAAAGCACTCTGGCAGAAGAAACAACTGGCTTGGCCAGAGCTGAGCCTGGGTGACATACAGGGCCTGTGCCTGCGAAGGTGGACTGGCGCGAGAGGACAACGACGGAGACACGCGGAGCGATTTTGGAAGATCCTAATATCTGAGTCCGCCTTCCTGATCTGGAAGCTGCGTTGTGAGAGAGTTATCGGACACGCCGACGAAGATGACTGGGAACACACCGGTCAGGCAATCCGAGCCAGATGGACTAGGGCCATGAACGAAAGGCTACATCTTGATATGGTGCAGACGCACAGGCGATTCGGCCGGTCCGCAGTCAAAAAGGACAAGGTCCTGGGAACGTGGAATGGCACACTGTTTGATGAGCTGGCCTTACCGGAAGACTGGACTACATACAATAGGGTTTTAGTGGGTATTGACGCGACGCGTCTCGACATACGGGACGATGGTTGACGAGCCCCACACTGGCGAATACACGCCGTGCATAAAAGCATTTTCTCCCTGGAATTATGCCCGCGGGGAAACCTGCTAGCAGGCCGGGTCACCGGGACTGACCGATTGTCAGGCTGCCGAAACCCATGATGGCCCTCCAAAAAAAAAAAAAAAAAAAAAAAACGAAGAGCGATTAGTACCAAATTATTAGTACATATGAAAAACAGGCGCCTACCAGCGAGCGCTGGCCTGCCAGTGCGAGGCTGAGCACATTCCACCATTCAAGTTGAACTGCCAGTGAACGTCGACAGCTGCGAGCCACGATATCCCAACGCATTATCCCAGGCAAGGCGGCAGCTCAGGCAACGGCAATGTCTGGTGATAATTTGTCTCCCCTTCCGGAATCCTCTCGCCCCGAATTGTCGAGGACAACGACGACTCTGACTGCACGCGATGTGCTGTTACAGGCTAAGAAGAACACGGTGCTCAAATCCCACGGCAGGCCACCTTGGTAAACTTTCTACAGAGGCCCTTCACAGGTCTTTCCATTGAGCTACGTATCACCAGGTATGGAGAGGATGGCCACAGAATCTCTGATGCGTTCGTCATCGGTATTGCTGGTGCGCAAATCTGACGCAAATCATACCGGCCAGTCGATCAGCGTTTGACCAGCTGATTTGCAGGAGGATCCGCCAGTGGCAAAGTGAGAACGTTCGGTAGCACCATCACAAGTATATTCATGCCCCGTCCGAGAACAGACGCATGTCGCGCGCCGTATAGTTCAGTCTCTAGGATCTATTCCGACTGTCGTCATTATGTCTCAAGTAAGATGCAACGCTGCACGTCGTTTCCTACATTTACGCCGAACGTGTAGGATAGCTTCTACAAGCGGCATACGGAAGAGGAAATCGAACTGGCCTTTGCAAGCCGCTATGACTTCGATCATCCTGGTATGCATCGCACGCTATGCTGTCTGTCCCTGACTGAGGCGCTTCGCGTTTGTAGACGCAATTGACATGCCGCTGTTCGCGTCCGTACGTGCACCTATTCGTGTCATGTGTCCTTGGGATGCGAGGTGTACTTGAACTTTGAAGGTCGCGTGTCCTGCCATGGAACTACACAGTGCCTGGCGGATCTGAAGGCTTGTCGACAAACGAACATCCCCATCTACTCCTTCACAGAGCATCAGCGTCTTGACGAGACCAAGTATCTCTATGGAGCAGCAATTATCATTGGTACGTCCAATCAAGCCTAAGTTGGCATCAAAGGTTGAGCTCCAGTGAAGCGGAAGGCATCATGGCCTTGCACGACCCCGCCCTTAGGGCGTTGTATGATCTGAAGGTACAGAGTTAATCCAGAGCCAATTGGTCCAACGGCTATTTAACATCCGCATTCCCTAGATTTTTGTACAATGCGACTCAGACCTGATGCTCGCCCGCCGTATCAAGCGCGACGTGACAGAACGCGGGAGGAGCGTTGACGGAATCCTCGAACAGTCAGTGCTAGATTGCCAAACGCGTACCTTATCGCTAACACCACACCTCGCACAGGTACTTGCGTTACGTGAAGCCCTCCTACGACCACTTCGTGCAGCCAACTTCTCGGTATGCCAACATAGTGCGCTAACTTTCTGTTTCGTTGAGTGCGCTCGCCTGACGTACTGCCTTATCAGATCGTACCCGGATCCGACAATGCCGTGGCCATCGACATCATCTCGACGCATATACGAAGACAGTTAGACGAGCGGGCAACTCAGCTTCGGCAGCGTTTGGCTGGAGCTGTCCCTCGCGAGCTCGTCGCCCACGGTTCGCCCGACCTAAGCAGCTCGAGTCTCAATATCACCCAGCTACCCCAGACACCACAGTTGAAGGCGTGTGCTACGTGCCTTATTACTTGACGTTGGGATTTGACGAACCTTACAGGGTATACTGACCATCCTGAGGGATGCTGAGACTTGCCGCGGGGACTTTATCTTCTTCAGTGACCGACTTGCGACGCTTCTGGTAGAGAAGGCGACAGAGTTGCTGCCATACCGCCCGAAAGCCGTCATCACTCCCCTCGGCGTCGAAGCACATGGTAAACAAGTAGATGTCCAGGTGGGTGCTCACTCTTCTGACTCGCATTGGTCCATGGGCATACCTGACGAGGTATCTGTAGCATCTGTGTGGAGTGTCCATCTTGCGATCGTACGTCTCCTCAACCTATTACCTGAGACGTTATGCTGACCGCGTCTCAGAGGAGGGCCCTTGGAGCGGGGTCTCCGGAGGGTAATCAACGACATCCCTATCGGCTCAATGCTAATACAGTCGGAAGCCGCATCAGGGGAGCCTCTCCTGCTCCACCTCCAGCTTCCCGTTTGTGTCCGCCAGCGTCACCTCGCCCAGAACACCTACGTCTTCCTCGTAGATGCCCAGGTGTGTTCCACGTCCCCAGTTATAGTAATCTTACTCATCAGAGTGGTCTGCGCAGATTGGTACGGGCGCGGCGGGCTTCATGGCCATCCGCATGCTGCTCGACCACGGCGTCCCGCAGGACCACATCATCTTCGTGACCTTCCTCGTCGCCCGCTGCGGCGGCATCTCCGTCCTCCAGCGCGCATTCCCCAACGTCAAGATCGTGTGCGGCGCCGTGGACGATCACCTGAGGGAGATGTGGCTCGAGGGCGTCGATGAGGACGAACAGCCTGCAGAGGGTCGGAAGGTCTGGGTGGTCGAGCCGGGGATGGGTCACATAGGTTCGTATCGGCGATTTATCAAACCCAGTGAATGCTCGGCTTACTTGTCTTCGCAGGAGATCGTTACTACCTCTAGACGGACAGAATCTCGCTTCTGGCAGTAAAGGGGACGCTGTTCTTCGCTAGAGCTTCGACAAGGCATGGGAACCCAGAGCCGTCATATGTACACTATCACACGGTCGCAGTGACAACAGACACTTAGCTGAAATGGCTCTCGCGTGTATGTTCCGGTACCAAAGTCTATTCGCGTTCATTCGGTGAATGTGGGTAGTAAGGTATGCATGTGACTCAACAGCAAGTGCGGAGAGGGGGGGGGGGGATAAACGAGGCGTAAGTGATGTATAAGACAAGAGACCCGTAAGTAAATATAGACATATCGGTCGTCAGAGCATTCGTAAAACCAACAACATTCATTCACATTATTGTGCACCACCTGCCCCTCTTCTCTTCGTCGATCTTGCCATCAATCGGGGTATTCGCTGGTACCTCGAGCCCAGGCGATGCGACGGCACTGCTAGGGCTCTTGAGGAACTCGCCCTCCGCAATTTCATGCGAAGTGAGCTCTTCAGGGAGCTTGGGCGAGCTTGAGAACCAACCGCCAGGGAAGAATCGCGACGACGTTGTCGACTCGTGCCTAGTGCGAATCGTCGTCGGCGACGGAGGCTGGACCTCAACGTGGGCCACTTGCTCAGTCTGCAGCTGCTCGTTCTCATCGAGTGGTACTAGACGTGCTAGGCTAGGCCTGCAAAACTCCCGTCAGTGGGTAGAGGTCGCTTAGCCAAGATTAGCTCACTTGGTGGCGATGCCCTTGCTACCTCCCTCTGTCGTCGGGAAGGCATGCTTGTCGCTCTCCAGGGCAGCTGGTTGCGTTTCTGAGGCTTGCACATCGACTGCCTCTGCTGTAGTGTCTGGGCCCTGTGTCGTAACTGTGTACGATGGTGTCCATGGGCGAGGCGGCGGGTCCTAACATAGCCAATACCGTCAGAACTTTATTGGGCGGGTTAATATGACATATCACTCACTGTGGTTTCCTCAGGCTCGACCTCAACCTCTTTCAGCCCGGGCGTACCAGGACCCTGCGAGGTGACTGAATACGATGGCGTCCATGGACGAGGCGGTAGTTCCTAGACGAGGTGAGACTTATTAGGCTAGGATTAAACACCATCAACAGTCATGGACTTACAACCACCTCAGCAGAAACCCCTGAATCCGTTGCATAATCTTCGACTGGCGACTCTGAGGAGACTGTTACAATTGGTGCCAGAGGAGCAGGTAGCTCTTCAATATGCTCCACCTCCTTCTCCTCGCTCGCCACGGGAGCACTGAGAGGGGTAGTACCTTGTCGAGAGACTGAATATGACGGAGTCCAAGGGGACTTCGGTCTCTCAATCTCGACAACAGCAGGCGCAGCGGCCGGCTCTGGTATCTACAAGAAAACAACGTCAATCTCTGTGCGTCGCACAACAATGAGATACGAACGGGCGCTGCAATCTCAGGAACAACCTGTTCCGGCTCGGAGGTCAGGACAATGACGGGTTCGGCGGGTGCAGGTTCGTCTTTGTGCTCTTCCGTGGAGGCGACGTCAGCAACAGGAGTCGATTCAGGAAAGACCGCAGGAACCGCTTCAACTGCGGCCACAGCGACGGCTGCGGTCAACGGTTGTATCTCTTCGACGTCTTCGTTTGCCGTCGCCACGGGCTTGTGTGCAGGAGTTGTACCTTGGGAGCTGACAGCATATGACCGGACCCAAGGAGATTTAGGTGCTTCCTCTGTAGTTTCTACAGAAGCAGACGGTTCGACTTCGGGCTATGTCCAAACACCATTAGTAAGTGAATGACAGGACGAACAAAGTACTCACCTCGGCCACAACCTCAGTCGTGACGATCTGGACGACTGGAGCTTCACTCGGATCAGGTTCGCTCTCTACCCGTGTCACCTCGATCTCAACAGCTTGCGGAGCAGGCACGGTCACATCCGCTTCTGCGGCCGTGGATGCTTGTGATTCCGGCGCATTTGCTGCATCTTCGTCTTGTGCTGACGGAGCGATTGCCTCTGCGTCCTCGACCGGTTGCACTGCCTCGATATCAACGGCTACGACCTGAGGCGAGTGCGCTGGACTAGGACCCTGAGAGCTGACAGAATACGAGCGAAGCCAAGAGGGCGACTTCGGTACCTCACCAGACGCATTGCTAGACTCGTCAATGGCGGACTGGACAGAAAACGAGCGTCGTCAGCACGATGACACCTGTAACACAGCGGACATTTACCTCTGTCGGCTGAAGGTCATTTGCCGGCTCTTCAACCACTTCCGTCAAAATAACTGGGACCGCGATTGTCGTATCCACAACTTCCAGGGTCGCTTGGACCTCTGCTACAGGAGGAGGAAGTTGTTCCAGTCCTTCGACCTCCTCAGGAGAGAGACTCTCCGACCCCTGCCTCACAACGCTGTAGGATGGCGTCCACGGTGACTTCGGACGCTCTATGGAGGCAGGTGCCGTGATCTCAGAGTCGATGGTTGCGTCGGCTACGACCGCAGTCTCGCCCACGGCGTCTTCGACCACCACGGTGACTGCAGGAGCCACGTCTGATACTTCTTCGATTACTGGTTCCTCCGCGACAGCATCAATGCCAGTTGCCTCGACTGCGGCCTCTGCTGATTCTACGCCAGTTTCGGGGACGGCTGGGACAGTGAACGCGCCTTCAATCGGTAGTTCTTCCACGGCCTTGACAAATTCAGCCTCCGATGCAGCATGCTCCAGTGGAACGACAGTTTCATCGGCAGAGGCAACAGCATCATCGGAGGACGATTCATTCGCCACGCCGATGACGACAGTCGCTAAAGCGGCAGCAGCAGCGATAGCCTCCCCAATTGACCTAACCACGTGTTCTTCGTCACTCGTGGAAGATTCGGGTGCCTCATTTCCGGCCTGCAGTGTTGTTTAGGTACTCGATATCTCAATCCGGACATAAGGTTGGAACACACCTCTACCACGTTGTCGCCAGATACCTCGACGTTGTCCGCAACCACTTCAGCTACAGCAACGTCCAGCTGGCTGTCCACCACGGAAGGTATACTCTCCTCTGCAGAGATGGCCGCTGGGTCAACAACGGCTTCCGGAACGGCAGAAGCCTCGTCCATGATGGGAACGACGATAGTAGAAGTCACGCTCTCTTCGAGGACTGGCGCCTCTGCGGAAACAGCCTCGTCACTGAGGGGCGCGTCAGAAGGTACTGTCGCATCTGCAGCGATACTTTCCGAGGGTTCATCAGGAACGACGTCCGTCTCAAGAGCAGGTAGCACTTCTTGCTGGATGACCTCTTCAACCCCAGGAGCCGACTCTGTCACAACTTCGATAACGAATGGCTCTCCAGCAACTTCCTCGGGTGGTGCCTCGACTGCAACAATGGATTCCTGCATAGTATCCACTGGTCAGAATCACTAAAGATCGAAATCTTTGATCGTACTCACTGTGGTCGTCTCTTCCGCGGCAGGAACAGCTTCGCTTTCAGGTTGAGCCTCAGCTACCTCCTCAGCTGCCACCTCCACAGGAACCGCTTCTTCGATAGCAGCCGCTTCCTCGACCGCAACAATTTCCTCGTTCACTGCAACAGTTTCCTCGTTCACTGCAACAGGGACCTCTGAGACGACTGTAGCCACCGTCTCGGTAACAACAGCCTCTCCGACCGGGTCCTCGACAGACTCCGTCGACGGTTCTTCAACCACCTCCACCAAATCCTCGGTATCAGTCGCTGTGTCCTCAGCAGGCGTTGCCTGATCCACCACAGGCTCTGCTGCGGTTGCTTCTTCGATAGCTTCTGCCACTGTAGGTGCGACGTCGACGTCAACTACCACCTCAACAGCTGGCGCTGCCTCCCCGGCCACGGGCACGGTCTCTTCAACAGGAACCGACTCCTCAACGGTGGCTAATTCTTCGACGACGAGTTCCTCTGCAGAGACGGGTTCTTCGATAACGGCGTGTTCCTCCACAGAGACGGATTCTTCAGCAGCAACAGGCTCCTCTACAGCAACGAGTTCCTCAGCAACGACGGGTTCCTCTACAGCAACAAGTTCCTCATCGACGAGTTCCTCTGTGGCGACAGGTTCCTCAGCAACAACGAGTTCCTCTGTGACGACGGATTCCTCTGCGGCGACGGGTTCCTCTGCGGCGATAGGTTCTGCAACTACAATGGGTTCTTCCGCCACGACAGGTTCTTCAGCGACGAGTTCTTCGGCAGCGGGCTCGGCCGACGCAGTTAACTCCTCGACAAGAGGCACCAGGTCTTCGATCGCAGGAACCTCGTCCGCCGCTGCTGTTTCTGTTGAAGCAGAAGGTTCCTCGATCGCGGCCACCTCGACGGCTGCTTCGGTTACATCAGCCTCTTCAGAGGCAACAGGCTCTTCAGCCGGTGTCGGTACTTCCGCGGTAGGTGGCTCCTCGGCGACAGGTTCGCTTGATGGGATAGTCTCCTCTGTGATGGGTTCACTTGCCACGATAGCCTCCTCTACGAACGCTGGTGCTTCCTGTTCAGGGACAGTCGCGGTTTCTTCGGCTGGTACAGCCGCGTCCGCGACCGAAACCGCCTCTGCTATAATCTCGCTCTCTGTGGCGGCGACCTCTTCCGTAGGTGCCTCATCAACCACACTCGTCTCGGCCTCCGGCGAAACCTTTGCAGCCGCAGGCGGCGCGTCCTCGATGTCGGACGGCTCTGAGACATGGATTGTCTCCTCTACCACGCTGCCGTCTTCCTCTAGAGCAGGCGTCTCGTCCGTCAAGATAGTGTGACTCTCTGCAGCTGGCGTGTCTTGTTCAGCAGCCTCCGTCACTGCAACGGGCTCGAGTGCGACTGCGTGCGTAGGTGCTTCCTCTACAAGGACGTCCGAGGGCTCGTCCGTCGGTGTTGGCTCCGAGGGTGCGGCAGCGGAGGCAGGCAGCTCCTCTTCGACCTTGCTCTCGACGACTTCCTCTGCTTGAGCCTCCGGCACGTTCTCCTCGAGCGCTGCCACCTCGACAGGTACTATGGATTCGGTGGGAGCGTCGGTGGTCGGCTGTTCCACCTCAATTGACACGGTAATTTCGTCGACAGCCTCAACTTCGGGCTCGCGTGCCGCACTCTCGCTCTCGTCAGCGTCCTATAGTCGCGCGTTTAGCTATCAATCACATGGACGACGCGTCAAGAGGCTAATACACTTACGTGGTGTGGCGCATGACCATTTGCGGGGACGTCACTCTTTACAGCGTGCGACGCGTCTGATGCCGTGGCGTCGGCCACAGCAGCCTTTGCATCGATCTCCGGCTCTCCGACGTCGGCCTGGGCAGCCAGCGAGCATTGCAATGCAATGGTATGAGCCACGTATGAGGGTTGAGTGAGAACTAGCACACGCACCTCTCCATTCTCATGCACCTCATCCTTCTCGCCGTTCATCACAGTCACTGGCTCAGCAGATAACGCGTCCTCATCTACTTCCGCCCTCACTTCCTCAGCGATCTCTGAAGCCTTCTCGGGCTCTGCGGCAGCCTCCGTCAATTCGACCGCAACAGGCGCGTCCACGTCAGGTTGTTTGTCAACAGCAAGGTCGGTTTCCTCCAGCTTCCCAGTCTCGTAAGTCGTGTGCGGCGCGTTTGTAGCATCTGCCAGAACCGGAATGGTTGGTTCGCCTTCCGCCACCGTGACGGACATGTCCACGAAGCGAAGACTTGATGATACGCGTGAGGTGTCGTTATAAGTAGTAATGTGCTGGCGCAATCAAGTGAGGTGCTGGTCGGTGTCGTCCAGCGGCGGGGGTTAGTGTGCTGTCAGAGAGAGAAAAGAAAGCACAATGGTTCTGCAGGGCGCTCGTGTGCCATACAGGATCGTGTCGGACCTCGTGCCCGGGTCTTTACGCGACTTCATCACGTGATCGTACGTTGCGACTCTATTCGCCTTCCAGCGCTAACGATCAGGAACCTGGTTCGGAGCAGCCAGCACACAGTAGTTCGGAAGGCATGTGTGCATAGAGTAAGAGGTTTACAGAGATCCTGATTACCGAAATTCTATGACACGACCGTCCAAGGAAATAGGTAACTATGAATCACAACAACAACGGTCCAGAGTTCAGAAGAGAGCCGCGCCAACCAAGCCCATCAACGCAGTAAGACCGAAAGCACCAACGGAGGTGCGGCCAGCGCCGTTGCTGCTGTTGGTCGAAGAGGTCTTAGCCGCGCTGGACGAGGCCGAGCCAGAAGCCGAGCCCGAGGACTTGGCAGCCGATGCACCAGTCGTGGACGCCCTGCTCGAAGATGAGATTCCATTGTAACAGCTTGGGTGACAGGAAAAGCGACTTACGCAGCAGTGCTGGCACCGTTCGTCGCAGCGGTCGCGGAAGCAGTACCAACAGAGCCACCACTCTCCGTCACAGAGGTGTTCACACAGCTCGTGCCAGAGCCAGAGGCGACGGTCTGCTGGTCAGACAAAGCGTTGGCGCCAGTGCTGTCCTTCAGCACAGTCGTGCTAATGACGATACTAATTAATACCAGCAAAAGACGGTCGTTACAGTACTTACAAGGAAGTGCCTTGGGCCAGGTCAACGGTCCAGGTGTAGCTGGTACCGCTAATCTGACCAAAGTTCTTGATCTGCACGACCACCGTCAGGCATTTGCTTTGAACACCACTACGGGCATACTTACCGCCGCAGCACTGGTGTCCTTGTTCGGGACGAGGGACAAAAAGTAGGGAGCAACTCCACCGTTCCAGGTGAAGAGCACGGGCTCTGCGGGCACAACGCGTCAGCACACACCAATACTTCACGCGCCATCGCAGCATACCACACTCATTGACGCCAGTGGTGCTAGGGGATTTGTCAGATCATTACTCAACCTCATTCCCTCTACGGAAAGCTCACATGGTGTTGACAGTCAGACCACTCACGAGGGCAGGGACGACGGCGGCGAACGCAGCGAGAGACGCGAAATACTTCATTGTTGCTGAGATCTAAGGAGTGTGCGTGTTGCAAAGAGCGGAATGGTGCGCCTGGCAGGCTTGTACAGATGTCGTCGTCGTCGAAAAGACAGGAGCCGAGTTGGGTTGCAGCGAGAAGACGGATCCGGTTTATGTAGTAGCGCGCGTTGCGGCAAACGAGCGGCGCCCCAATTCCTGACAGCCCCTCCCACGCCGCTATTCTTGGAATCCAAGAATCCATATGCTGTGACCCGCGCTTGTCTTCCTTCCATCCTCCTGGGCAGGACGGCCAGTCAAGAGGAATGAATAGCTGGACAAGTACATATAGTTTGCGAGCATGAGCATGATTCCCCTTCAGACTGCAAGAAGTTGTGATGCAAGGAATAATTCGGTACAAAATTTGTTTTAAAGCCCTATCCAACTGCTACGACCCTTGGGATTGTGAAGACTCGTCTGTCCGATCTTTATCAGCCCGATGTTTTTGTTTGCCGCATCATCCTCCATAGCTGCGTTCGAGTCAATCTCGATAGGTGGGATGTCGACCGCGTCTGCCATCGGACTCGGCGACAGAACAGGCGTCGACCGGACAGATACTAGCCACCCTTCGCGGGAATCACTCCGCGTCACCGATAACCCATCCAGCGAGTCGCTGCGAGACGGCCGTGCGCTCTCTGCGTCCGTCTTCGCTCGCATAGACGTCGAGCCTGGCACTGGCAAGAACGCCTCCGCGTACCACTCGTACCAGACCTGCCGCTGGTTCGTCAGGCGCCAGATTGAGACGTGGAGTTCTGATGAGCTCGGAAGATATAGCGGTTCCTGGCGGCAGTGTCAGACGAACGACACAGAGAACCGGCACCGCGACGGATCAAACGAACCTTAAACGGGAAAAGTAGCGGGAACCAGCTCAGCATGTTCTTCGAGATGTATTGCATCCGGTCTGGGTGTATGCTCAGGCCGATGTTGCGGTAGAGTACCGCTTCGAAGTATCCGGCTAGGCCGTGCAGGATGCCCGCGTGGGGTATGTGGAACGTGAGCTGTGCGGATCGCGCATTATGACTATTCGTAGGTGGTAGGCCTAGTACACGTACACGTACATCGTATTAATAACCTCCCAGCGTACAAGGTTGTGTCATACGTACCTTGTTCGTTGAGCACAGCGTCCTTCCGAGGGTGTTCAAACTCCCAGCATTCCTGGACCTTGGGTCCACAATTGCCGCTAAGGCCTCCGCCATTACCGCTCAGAATGTTGATGGCCTGGAACATCACCACGTAAGGCGTTTCAGCTGCTTTTACGTCTTTTGTGGCCCTGGTTTCATTGAACAGCTTTGACGAGGATAGCGGCGCTATGTGTGCGGTATACGAGGCAGGTATCGATATGCCTTCCGCTGCACCGAGGTGTCAATCTCGTCAACGAGGTAGGGGCATGTTCACTCACGTTTCAAGAAGCGCATCGCCCCATCCAAGCACTCAGGACTAAGCTCGTTGTCTCCAAAAGACCCCAGCAGTTCGCTGACAAGTATGTCCACCTTCTCGGGCAGTTCGAAGGTCCGCATGTCACCGAAGAATAGCTTCACGCTCTCGCCCCAGTCATCGTGTACGCGCTGCTGTAATCTTCACTCCGGGAGGCTCAGGGGATGCGTAACGGGCGAGGAGAGGTAGTGCGTACGTGACATAAGCATTCGGGTTCTTCTCAAGTGCATAGACCAAGCCCTCTCGGCTGGCCCGTTGGAGGGCCTTCAGGCACCGCGCAACCAAAGGACCACGGCCTGCCCCGGCGACACATAGTATCCTATCCTCGGTAAGAACTAGGTGAAACCGTCAGAAGCGTAACACAAACATTTTGTCAGCCTTGTTGGGCCATTCTACGATTGCTGCGTAAACCGCCTGTCCGTCGTCTCGGGGTTCATAACCTGATGGACTTGACACACCGAAGAACATACCTCCTCGTATTGTCTATACTTGACTGGATCCTGCTCGAATGTCTGGTACGTAACGCTTTGTAGGTTGTCCATCAAGGGCTTGACTCTCTGGTCTCAGTATCACGCCGACATCATCGTCTGAGTGGCGCCTTACCTGTAGAGGAGCTTGTAAGTAATCTTGGTATCCCTGCGCGAAGTTCTCCACGGTCCCCTGAGTTTTCGATGCCTTGTACGCGGGACTGGTCTTCTCCAGATGTCGTACGTACTGCGAATAGACAACCTCCCCGCCGTTCTTATGTCGACCTGCCGTGGTACCTGACAGGATAACATTAGGTCTCAGCTGTAGAGGAAACACGGTGAGTCCTTTGCGAGTTTGGCTCGAATAACACAGAAGTCGTCCTAACCTTCATGATGTCCCGAAGAAAGCCTTGCGCTACCTTTGGCAGTACTGGGTATCCCTTCGCGTTCGCGATAAATGCAGACGCAGGCAAGAATATATGTCGTACGGGCTCTGCAGACCATTGGCTCAGAACGCTGATCACGGAAGGCATCGGGGGTGTCAAGTCCAGCGCTGCGAGTAGATGTCAGGTACTAATGGCATCACAAATCCGCGCATACGCACTGAGTGTCAGTCGCGGATTATACTCGCAGACTGTCCGGATCGCATCCCACATCTCCCAGGTCGCCACACTGGGCTCGTCGCTGAAGAGCACACTCGGGCTTGACACAGTGGTGATATTGACAGCGGACCCCGCGGATGAAGATGCGTGCAGCATGACGGGGTCGTAGATGGGTATACAGACGGAGAGCTCCATGTAGGGTACCGCGTTCAGGCAGGTGTTCACCGCCCGGGCATACGATGCGAGCTGCGATCGGTGCTTCGGTGGGGGTAGTATCGCAGACGTGATGTTGAGGTAGGATGCATATGCGAGTTCTTGGAGGAGTGCCTATAGACCATGCCGTGTGTATTCATGTCAGTCACCGGCAACCCAGATGCAGAACGACGAGATACACACCGTCTCCGAATCATGCCGCACCCAGTCGTCGGTCGCGTCCAATTCCAACCACTCGGACGCAACGGCGACCACGCCCTCCGCCTCATCTGCACGCTCGCCATCTCAGTACGGCCGCCGTCGTCCGGGTCACACACATCCCAGGACGCACCCAGTCTCGTCATCGTCACCTCATCTCTCTCGAAAGCCGGCGTCGCCCGCCACGCCTCCGCCCGCCGCTCGATCTCCACCTTGTCGTGCCCGTCGTCCGCGGGGAGGAGGCACATGCCCCGCCAGCGCGCGCGCCAGGCGTCCGTCGTGAGCGGGCAGCATATCCCCGCGTAGTCTTGGGATCGCGCGTCCGCAACGGCCTTCAGGATCGGTGTCTCGCCGTCTGCGCCCGCGCCGCTGCCGCCAGGTGATTGGAGGTCCGCGAGGGAGAGGTGCTTCGTGAAGGTCGACATGACGGCGCCAATTTTGGAGGTCGGCGGGAGAGCGCGCTGGGGTGGTGGACGGAGGTAGGATGGTGCATGGGTGGTGGGTCGAACCAAGGTCGAGCAGACTCAAGTTGGACTCACTGAGGCTGCTTTCTGCGTTGTTGCAGTCTCGCAGACGGTGCGCACAGCATCTCAGACGTAAGTTCGTGATGACCTAGACGACTCGCGCTGGACCATGCAGCGATCATGATCGACCGCGTATGCGCTCAGGAAATCGCTGGTGAGGGCGTCCTCAGAATCTGCGTATCTGTGTTCAGCTACATATAGGTGCAACTACTGCTACAACTTCAACTGCACAAGCGCAAAACATCGCTTCGTATGGGCCCCGTCAACCTTGTCCGTTGTTCCCGTCATCCATGCGTGTTCGCTTCGGACCCTCTGTCGGACCATCCTCGGCATTTTCCCTCCGCTGCCCACCCAGTGTGCTCATACCGTACCCAGTAACCACTCCTTCCAGCACTGTCCTCCCCACGACCTGCCGAAGCTCTTCGTCGGGATTTCTCCCCTCGGCTTCAGCACGCTGCATTACGTCCTGCACGGACTGGATGAGCGACGACGTGAGATGTTCTGACGCAAGGTTTTGGGCGTGCTGTGATGGTTGTGTGAGAGATGATGCCGCTGACGCTGGGTCCGTGGTAGCTGTTAGGCTGTGAAGGTATGCGGCGACCTCGGGAAGTCTTCCTCTAGGTATTGCGCCGGCTACCTGCTGGTTAGCGACGAAAGCTTCTTCGAAGAGAAAACGCTAGTCACCGAGATACCCTCGCTATTCTGCCTCTCGACAGTAGCCCCGTGTTCGACGAGCCAACGCGCGGTCTCGATGTTCTCGACTACGTACAATGGTGTATCGCCGTCGTTGTCGGTGATGTTTACGTCCCCTCCTACATAAACATTTCGGTGTGTGAGCCGGCCTTAGGGTACGGGACAATGACCTTTGGAGACAAGGTAGTCGAGAACATGGAGCTGTCCGTAAGAAGCAGCGGCATGCCTTCCCTATAGCGTGAGCTAGGTTCAATCTTCATCAAGCGATAAAACGCACATCGGCGTATACGTGTTCTCGTCAGGGATATTGGCCGATAGCGCTGCACGCCTTTTCAGCGTCGAGTCGTCGGCGAGTAAACTTCATGGCTACGGACCTTGGTCCTCGACGAGTTTCTGCGGTGCACGTTACATTAGCATGCATCCTTATCTAGCATAATCATAAGCACTCACCCTCACACGCTCGAGGTCGCCGTCGCCCGCGGCGACCCAAATATTCTTCTCGTACCGCACTCGCGTCGGGACAGGCATGGTCGTTTTGCACAACTCTCGATCGCGTTTGAGCGCCTGTCAACGCGGTGTCACGCTACGGGGGATCCCGTGACGGTTGCGTCACAGGGAAGCCGGCGGCAAGCGAGCTCGCGCCGATCATCATCGCGGTTCACTTTGGCTCGCCTCCGAAGTGCCGGTCCATTTCTCCGGCGTTGCCCCAGGAGAATGGCGTATTTACGCGTATTTCCCTAGCACAAGAACGCAAGCTGAGGATGCGGGGCGTGCGCAAGGATTCACGATGTGACGGGCGGCGTTCAAAGCCTGGAGCAGGGCCTCATATGTTGTCAGTGCTTCAGGTACAGATGCTGGCCGCAAGGTGTGCCTGCCCCTCCTCGTAAGTACATATGTAGGGCTGTGCACCTTGGTGACGAGGTTATACTCAGTCAGTGGGAGAGTAGGCCTGCGCTCCTTCACCCTCATTAGCACATCGGACATCCCACGTAGCACGGAAACAGTAGGATACCTCGTGTCAGCAAGGTCCGTGAAGTGCGTCCCAGGCAAAATTCCATATGTCGGCTTCACAATTCGCTGGACGCAATATATCCTCCCTTTGTTGCAAGGCATGCCACTGCGACGTTCCCCGGTGTCATGCGTAGCGCTGTGACGAGGAGGAGCGTCCTCTTCACCCTGGCATGGATGCCGAGCTATCACTGTTGGGGTGTCAGGAGGCTTCTCGCGTGTCCGGAGAAAGAAGTCGTCGGTCGTACGCCTCGTCCTTGTGCTGGTGCGCGCAGAGTTCGCTGCGGTGGCCAGTGCGCGGCGTCGATCACGCCCTCGTCCTCGCTGCCCGCGTCCGCTGGGCGAGATGGGCTGCTCGATCGACGACCTCGGGCGTGATTATGGCTGTCCTGACGATCGCGAGAAGCGGATCTTGTGATCGGAGGTTGATCTTCCGCCCCACGCCCACGGCCATGTCCCAGTTTGGCGCACCCCCACCGCGCGCGCCCGCCAGTGCCAGCGCAGCATCCCTGGTGGCCGCGGGCGTGATCGCGCGGGGGCGGAGGATGGGCGAGCTGCGAGGATTCCATTCATGTGTGGCGACGGGCCCCGGACACACGGGCATGTGCGCGGCCGCGCGGATGCAGACATGTCGTCCTTTGCCCGCCTAATTTGGCAGGAGAACGTGACGCGCTGGCGCGGTCGCTCGCGCCCCCGTCCGCGGTGGTGCTGCGCTGGCAGCGGGGGCGGGGCAGCGCGAAGGGCAGCGCGCCGTAGAGACAGGTAGCACCGAGCGAGCAACGTAATCAGAGTTTGGGTGCGATCGACGAAACGACGCCGGGCTGAGTTCGGTGCGGTCCGATGACCTGGGGTTGTTCGTGTTGACTTGCCTCGCCCGTGTCGCCACAGAGGCCGCTGCCCCTGTGTGCCCCCTTCTTGTTCTCAACAACGACGGCAGCCACGCCCCTCGCCCTCTTCTTTCTCCTCCCACCCATTCCTCGCAGCCAGCCAGCCTCGCTGGCGCCCTACTCTACTCCGTTGGTTTAAGCCCGCCGCAGCCGTACCCTACGTCTCCCCTAGTCCTCGTACCCTATACCATGAGCTTTCTCACTTCTTCCCAGCGGAACTACGACGGCCTTTCCCACTCGGACGTCGCGCAGCTCCCGCCCATACACAGCTCCGTTTCGAGGATCCCAATGCATCCACTTTCGTCATTCGACAACCTCCCGCCAGTCACCCAGCTTCCACCGCTGGCCTCAGCACCCCCAACACCGAGTAACGCCGTGCCTCCGTCACCGGTCCTAGATCGTCCAGTCTCTCTGCCAAAGCTTGGGCAGACACGCTGCTGTACGTGTTTCTCCCTTGCACCCCTACGATCATCCCTCGATCACTCGCTGGGTTACTTTGTCCCCGGCGCTCAAGTACTAACTTCACTCGCATACAGACTGGTGCCTCCTCACCCCGGACCTCCAATTTATCTATCTCGATCCCGTTCTCGCCCATCACCTGGGAGAACAGGCCGACCTCTTAGTAGGCAAGTCGCTTCTGGCCTACGTCCACCCGGACGAGCAGGCCTCCGCAAAGCTTGACTTGGGGAGTGTGTTGGAGAGTCGGACACTGCATGGGAGCGTCACCCGGTACGCATACACGCACCATGCGCACTGCGTCCCATACGCTAACGTCCGCCCATTGATTCGTTGACGTAACTATTTGCTCTCAGAGTACGCTATTCTCGCCTCTCGCGTGTACGCAGGCAGCTGGGTTACCAAGGGCCTACACATGAGTTCGCAGACGCAGACAAGGTCTCCGTGGATACGAACTACATGGCTGTGGACCTCGTCATCAACTGGGCGTCCGACGGGCTCGTGTTGTGCTTCATGCATGCGGTCGTGGACCTCTCGCCTCGCGATAACGACGAGCACAACAAGACGCCTTGGACCAACTGGTGTGGCACACCGTACATGAACACTGAGCAGGTCCAGATTTTGTATCAGCGCCTGCTTGCTGTCGTGCCGCAGCCGCTCTCCATGAGCCGGGTGTTTCAGATCCTGCTTAACCTGCCGGAACGTTCGTTGTACATGAGCTGGCCCCCTGAACACCAGGAGCCCGGTGGGCCGACTTCCAAGGACTTCGCGCGGCTAGCGCAGGACGTTCAAATAAGTAACGCCGTTTCCAGTGGGACGGACGCCAAGACGAGCTGTACCAGACGGTACAAGGCACACCAAACGATGCACTTCGGAGGAGACAATAGCAAGGAAGTCGAGAGCATCTTCATCCCGCACGGTATGTCCACCAACTCTAGTTCCACTCGAACAACGGCTGACCGGACGGGGTCAGGTTCTATCATCTTCGCTTGCCACAAAGTGCACCCGAGCACTCGCGACCTCAATCCCAATGACGCTGCATCCCAGTCTCAGCACTACGCTAACCACCCATACCAAGACCCGGCTCATCCTTCATACAACCTGCCGCACCTACCCGCTCAGTACCCTAGTAATATGTCTTCCACGCATTATCCGCCTTCGCACTATGCAAGCAACAACTGGTCGCACCCTCCTGAATCGTCAAGCTCGCAAACTCATTACCAATGGGACCCTCAAGGCAACTCTCTCTCGTCGGCGCCGTCGGTCAGCAGCATGCGTTCTTCGTCCTACCATCAACCTCCCCCGCCCCAGCAGCATCAATGGCCTTCCCAGCCGCCGTACCTAGATGCCCATCCGGGTGCCCCGCCTTACAGCCCACAAGGGGCACCCTCCGGATCGTCGTATTCGGCACCGCCATCACATGACGAGGCCCCACCTTCTCCCGGTAGTGACACTGTGCCTCCCTCAAGGGTCACTCACAGGCGAGGGTCGAACAACTCGAGGGAGCAGTACGGGAACGGTGGACGCAGCACAGGGAACCCGCCCATGGGCGTCCCGCGGTGCTCGAGCTGCAAGGTGACCCAGAGCCCGGAGTGGCGGAAGGGCCCCAGCGGCAAGAAGGACCTCTGCAACGCGTAAGTGCCGTGTTCTTCATTTGCGCAGAGATACACGAGCTCATGACCACACTTTGACGCCATCGGCTGACCCCTGCTCGCTTACACGCCCCCCGAAACAGATGTGGACTGAGGTATGCACGATCACGCGCGAAGAAGGAAGGCGGGCCCTCGCAGCAGTCACGCCGCCGCAAGGACCGGGTATTCAATTCGATGCAGAAGGACCACTCGCCGTCCGGTTCGCCGGGCCCGTCCGGCTACCAGTCCCTCCCGCGGCGCGGTAGCTACTACGACGATGCATCGTTCGGATCGGCGTCGTCGAACGGCTCGCCTGGCGCGCCTGACTTGTACGCCCCAACGGCGCACGCTGGGCCGAGCTTCAAGGGCCCCATGTCGCCCTCGCCCTCGCCCTCGCCAGGCGGTGGCATGCAGCATCACCCGCATCAGCCATACATGCCGTACCCGCACCCGCATCAGGGCGCCCCGCATCCACTCTTGCATGCCCCGCAAAACGCGCACGCTGACGCGCCTGGACGCTACTCGAACAGCTTCTATTCAGTGCCGCCGCCTGCACCGCCGCACCCGCACCCGCACCAGCAGCCGTCGCTGCATCACATGTCGAGCCACAGCAGTCTTCACAGCAATGGAAGCTACTCGCAGCCTCTCGCGGGCCCCGGTCAGCCGCCGCGCCTGGACCCCATCGTGCCGGTTCCATACAGCGCGGGTGGAAGGATGTCCCCGTCGCCCATAGGCGGTTCGCCACTCAGCACTAGCTTCTCCAGCGCGAGCTACGAGCGGGAGAGGCCGATGAAGATGCAAGACGACCGTGAAGGGCTGCCTCCGAGCCCTGTCAGCGCAGACCCGAGGAACAGGAGGTCGCCGTATAAGTGAAGGGTGCACGCTAGGTAGTTCCCTTCGTGCCAAGTGTACATGTCATTGTCGTTTCCTCGTTCACAGACGGACCTCGCTCGCGCCGTTCCGCAAAAGGCTCTCCCAGTAGTTTCCCGTAATATTTATCCTCGAGCAGCGCATCTCCCTTCTCCTCGTACGTGTACTTCCGCGGCGCACGCGACGCTTCGAGTCGTCCGCCCGCTCCAGACGTTTTTAGTTAG